CAAGGGTTACCAAATTCCAAAGACAGAAGAAACATCGAGTCCAGAACCGAACCAACACACATCTATTGACTTTTGATCTTAATAAGGTAGGACTAAAGAAATAAAACTAGGTAGAAAGGAGACAAGGAAATAGCAATTTTAAAAATTGAATTTGAAGGCAAACTGCAGCCTCAGAACACAAGCCTGTTTGTTTACTCTTTTTTCTTTTCCCCAAATAGAAAACCTGGGTGACTTTTTCACTTGCAGGGAGACTACCCGTTTCATTTGCAAATGGTCCCCAAGGACCCAGGAAAGGAGTTCCCTTTTGGGATTTTCTACAGGAAGATCCTTATCACTAGGGATGGGCCTCCCTCTCCCACCCACTAAGATCACAGATAATCTGAACTGCTCAGATTTCCACCTCCCAAAACATAAAACATCTCCAAGTTCCCAACTGTATGGTCCGTCATTCCCTTGAGCACCCACACTCTGCTCTATATACCTTACTTCTATCTCTAACAAATCCTCATGCCTCTATGACTGAGGCCTCCTGAAACTAACCTGCACACTTAATGTTAAAGGAGTGGGTTAAATTCCTTATTTCAGCCTCGAGGACCCAGACCCAGCCCTCAATATTAAGTGCTCTGAAACAATTTTTAAAACCACCCTGGCTGGGTGTATAACCAAAGCAAAGGAGACAGGATTGTCAGTATAAACAGTCCTGTGACTGGCAGAAATTAATCCTGGTGATGTCAGGTTGGCCATATGTCAATCCATGGCTGATTTCCAATGCATTAACTTTTACATACAAAAACAAGCCTTCCAGTTCACAGATCCCACTAACTTACCCCTGGAGTATGGGAATGAATGTAGATCTTGGATGGCGTGTATATACGTGTTTACACACACACACACACACACACACACACACACACACACCCTTCACCAGACCACAGTTCTCTGCTTCTGTTTTTCACAGGGCACAGAGAAGACTGCTGGGAGGATTACAGGTTAAGTCCTTAGCACAGCTCCTGGCACACAGTGGGCACACAATAAATGCTGGATACTATCAATCACCTCCACTTTTCTCCCCATAGATTTTCAACAGGAGACAGTGATTTCACAACAGAAGGCCACTAAGTGACCTTGCCCTGAAAACCACAAGCAGGTGAATCACCAACAGCCCAAGGGAGTCTGCCAATGTGAGATTAATCCAGTCAACCACAATTGTGTTCAGATCAACCACAACTGTTTTCCACTGACATCTGATGGAAACCCAGAGAAAGCCTGCAGCTTCCTTGTTGGGCACTAAAACTGGCTTTCCCTTCGCTTCCCCATGAGGAGGGCTGCTTCTTGCATTTTCAAACTTTCCACTCCCATTCTACTTTTTCCATCCCCCCCCCCACTCCAATACCAGAGCCATTTATTGTCTGCAAAGAGTCAGCTGACTGGCTGGCACTCCAGTTCGCACCCCTGGCACCAAATTTAGCCTCATCTACTGTGCCTTTCCATCACTGAGGATTCCCTTGAATGTACTGGGAATCTCTGGAGATTAAAATTACTATGTAACTGATTTTAAATATACCCATTTGACATGAGCAGAGGAACATTCAGATGCACTAAATTATATAGGCTTTTAGATGTAATTTGGGCATGGTAGAAGCTGAAAGGAGGTAATAATTCACTCATAATTAGGGGAAGAAAAGAAGTATCTTGGAGAAACCTCACCAGGTGTTACTGGCCCTTCCATCATAGAAATTTCACCCAAGTGCCTATAAAATAATCTGGATGAAACCCAGCAGTGTGATGTGAATCTCTTATAAAGAAACTGTAAAAGGGCAGACTCCAAGGTAACCAGGCACTGCAGGGCCAAAGCTTCATCAGCCTCAGCCTCTAATTACACTGGGGAGACAGCTCCTGCTACTACCATGGGGAGAAGGGCAGATTTCAAGTGTGACAATATTTTTTTCCTTGAAGAAAAAAATTTTGTTAGAAATCCAGAGAGAAAACATAAAAATTAAAAGCAGGCCCTAAATCATGGGCCTGAAAAAGCAGTACTCTGGCTGCCAACCTCTTCCAACCGGCATGCAGAGTTAGCATCTGGTCCTGCTTTCAATAGCAGCTTTGTAGCACAGAGGGCCAGCACCCCATCCTACAGCTCCCTACTCCAGAGACTGCATGTTTATGCATCAGCACACACATGCATCTCACCTCGAACCTGAAGTCCCTAGTGTCATTTGTAGATTCAACAAATACAATTTTCCGGCTATCAGCCGTGAGTCAATGAAAATAATCTTTATGCCTGTATCTTCTCTGATTTTTCCTAAAGATGCCCAATCCCAGCTCTAAAACTTGGACTTGTATCTAAAAGTACAACAGAATTAATTCTCTTGTTCCCAGTCATCAGCTGAAGAATCTCTGAGCCTGACCCAATACAAACACATACTCTCACATCTAAAAAGATTCACTTCCTTCAAATTCCCTCTTGCCTGCACTTCCTCACAGACGTACGACGGGGATGGAATCCCTCTTCCTCTGTCACTCTATTCCTCGCTCCCTGTCATACTGTTTGTACACAAGCCAACAGAACCCACACGGATGTATAAAGTGAAATGCCCATGACATGGACAGCATTTAATGGAGGTCAGGGAGCTCCTAAGCAGGCAGAGACAGAAACAGAGTCTAGACCAACCTCTCCCACCTGTGACTTCTGTGGTATGTTCTGATTTTTGAAAAGCAGCAGTATTTGCTATACCACTTTTGACAACAGATTAAGAGAAGGGAACATTCTGGGTGGACTAATACTAAAAAGGAACATCTAGCAGAAATACCCTGGAAAGTAGAGAAGACCACAGCCAAAACTCAGGCGAATGTTCTGGTCCCTGTGATGTCCCTGCCTTGGCTCTCTGGATAACCAAGAACTGATTGATAATCATTTATCAGTTCTACTTCCTCAGTCACCTCAGGAGCTCACCAGCTGCTCTCTGAAGTCTTTGTCCCAATGCCTACCAATCTCTAAGGCTTGGGGAACCTCAGCAGAAGTCATCACTCATCTGAGACTTAACAGATGCATCATAATTTCATTTTATATATGCACTATTTTACAGGATGCAAAATGTCATTTAGGACTGAGACAGATTACAAGAGAGAGATAAGTCTATGGGCAGGGAACAACCAACTGCTTTCCCCAAAAGCCAACTGAAGTTACAGGGCTCACACGTGTGCACACATCTCTCTCTCTCCCTCTCCTCTTGGATCCCTGGAGAAGTAATGATCAGATGTTAGGAAGCAGATGTTTAGGAAGTGTAGTTCCCTAGAAAGACAGCTAGACCTGACTCCTGGTCCATAAACGTTCCCTTTGGATTTCTTCAGTTCCTCTTAAACGCTTTCCATAGTCTACGTTATCCTCCCATGTCCACGATGGGGTAGGCCATAAGGAATATAATTTGTTCAAAGTCTCTGTTTTTGTTTAGCATCAAGAGTTACTTTTGCCAAATAAAGACCATTATTCAAGCTATTAGTAGCCAAAAATCCCAACCGTATGAGTCAACCAGTACATACGCTGAGAATTAAAAACAAACAAATAAAACCCAAACAAATCTGGGCTTGGTGGCACATGCCTATAACCTCAGTGCTTTAGGAGGGCAGAGATAGGAGGGTACCAAGTTCCAGGGCTTGTTTCAAAGTTAAAAATGGCTGGTCAGTGTGAAAGCCCTTTATTCAATGCCCAGTACTGGGTGGGACAGGTGATACCAATTCGCATCATATGCACAAGGGGTTGATACTATTTCAGGAAGCTTTGGTTTCCATTGCAGATGTTCAGACCATTTTAGAATTTCATATGGTGAATCGGTCAGTTTGACAGCCACTGAAATGTGGTAAAGAATAGTCAGAATTCAGCAAGGCCTGACCTTTCCTCCCTACACGCCATATCAGCAGAGGAGGTACTTTGCCCCATGAATCTCACCTAGCCTGTGCCCCACAGGCTCAGAACCCATCAACACGGTTTAGCCACGAACCTGGAAGCGGCTGGGCCTGGACGCCATCATCTCATGTATGAATCATGATCTGACTCCCTTCTCCAGAATTCTGCCCACTTTTTTCTCCCATTCCATCCCTCCAAAGGACCAGGAAAAACTTGAGGAGAGAAGCAAATGCTTCCCCTAGGAATGGGCACTATTCACTCTGGCTCCTCCAAAGGACCCGGGTGTTCCAATCTCTGGCTCCGATGCCCCGCGCACCTCCACCTTCCACTCTGCGCAGCTCAGGAAGGCGCTGGCCTGGCCGACCTGAGAGCCCTCTGAAAGGCAAGTCCACACACTCATGTTTTAGCTGCCAGGGCCTCTCTCACTTTGCCACGCACAGCCCCTTACTGCGTGGCTGGGCGAAACAGCACTGAGATAACCTTCAACTTCTCCAAACATTCCAGAAAGAGAGCCTGGCGAGGGCCTGCTCCTCTTAGCTCCATCCCCGACGCTGGTGGCGACTTTCAGTGCTCAAACCCCGCAGCCAGAGAAAGTGAACTTGGCCGCGGGGATGCAGACGCTTCAGTGGGCGCCCGGAGCCCAGCGGGGCGCAGGACGCTGTTTCGGGAGGCTTTCTCCGGGGGCTTTCCTCCTCCTCCGTGGAAAACCTTCCAGTTGAGCAAGAAAAGAAAGAACAAAAGCCAACACACCAAAAGCCGCAACCTGGTTCCTTTACGCCCGAAGCAGACAGGGCCGTGGGGACTGAGCATGAACCCAGAAAGCAGCGGGACCGGCCACGGGGGGTGGGGTGGGAGGCGGGAACAAAGCCCCCGGGCCGCTGCGGGGGGCGCGCGCCCAGACCCCCGGGACCGACTGCACTCCGTGGGGCCGAGGCTGATGCCATACGGCACTCGCGCGTCCCGGAGCCCGAGCGGAGGCAGCACCACCGGCCACGGGATGCAGGTGCGCGGTGCGCGCGGCAGGTCCCGCCCCCACGCCCCTACTAAGCTCGTGAGTGACCGGATCTTTCCAGCCCACGGTCCCGCCACGGCTCACCCGAGCGTGGATCGAAGGTGACCACAAACACCGCCACCACCTGGTCCTCCTCCACGTCGCTCAGCTCCAGGCGCCCGGGTTGCAACAGTACCTCGGGGGGTGCCGGTCCCCCGGGCTCCCGCCTCCGGGACGGCTCCGCGGCCGGCCGAGCGCCCCCACCGCCGCCCCGGACCCAGCCTCCAGCCTGCAGCTCAGGGCCCTGCGGCGGGGACACGGCGGGGCCCTCGGCCCAGCTCAGCAGCGGCGCCGCGTCGCCGTGCTCCACCATGGCGAAGCGAGGAGGAGCCGCGGGCGCGGGGGGCGGGGCGCTGCGGGCCGGGCCCTTCCTTCCCTCTCGTCCTCTTCCCTCCCCTTTTCTTCCCGCCGCTAGCGGAGCTCCGGCCGGCCGCCCCCACCTGCCCCTCCCGTCTCCCGAGGCGCCGTTCCGCGGGAGCCCGAGAAGGCAACAGGACGGGCTCGCCACCCCGCCCTGGCTGAGGCCTCCCAAGTACATCGTCGTGTGTGTGTGTGTACTCGATGTGTGAATCGTGGTGCAGGACGCCTGTTTTTAGGTCCGTTCACCTACGCTGACACCTTTACACCCAGGACTCCGTGCTCTGTAATCGCTGTCAATTTTTATACATCACCATTATTTTTATTAAAGTCTCGTGGTCACAAGGACCCGGACACATGTATTATATAACCCTGCATGGGCAGCAAAAGCTGCTCTCAGCAAGAAGGGGAAGCAGAGGAGCCCTGGCTACTCACGTGTTTAGAATGTACCTGTGAATGAAGGCTGCACAGAGCAACAGGGTGGGCTTTGAGAACTTTTCCATCTTTAGAACTGATTGGGATGGAGATTGTGTGTTTATTAGTAGATACATAGATAGATAGATAGATAGACAGATAGACAGATAAAGAGATGTTGAAAGTCCAAACCTGGGAAGTGCTGGGGCTTTTTCTGGAACACGCTTCAAGATGTCAAGATGTCAATCTGAGTAAATATAAATGAGAAATAGGATTGATTAGCCATTAAAAGAATAAAGGATACAGGACAAGAAATGGGTCCGATGCACAATTGATACAAAGTTGAGAAGTACCTGTTTTCTTTCTCAGAAGGATCCAATGGGTTCATGCAGTAGGTGTTGCTCTAGGGGCCTTTATGAAGATGGGTCCCACGTGCCAGGAGTGTACCCCATGGAGACAATCAATGACCTTCCAGGGCTGCTGCTTTCAGTCTTCAAAAATAAAGCATTTTAACTCTAAAATACAGAAACGCTTTCAACATTTGCATATTTAGTTCACCCGGACCCCTTGGGCCCAAGAGCAAATAAGTGACCACCTACCAATAGCTCTCCCCAAGGAGTCCAAGATAGTCACTACATGGAAGGGGAGTCCTAGGCCCTCCAGCCAGGGCCAGGCCAGGGCACTATTCAGTTCAGTCAGGGGACACACACAAACTCTTCAGCCCAGACACCAAAACGTGCTACCTCAGAAGACCAGCCAAAATTGTTGTGAGTCATTCACAGTTTTATCTTTAAATATTTAGCAAGGGTTCATATAAAATTCTTAACAATTTCTAAAGCATCAGCTTTAGGACAAATGGACTTTCTCCCCTGAAGGACTTCCTTTCCTGACTTTTGTAGAAGTATCTCCTTCCTGATGCCCCATCACCTCCTAGTTTTAACACCTTCACGTTATACCGATGCCAGAAAAAAAAACCCTGGTCTCTATCCCAATTTGCTGTGTGTACAGAGCAGTAAAATTTGCAAACCCTAACATTATCGCCCTTTTCAGTCTTATGCATACAGTATATTTTAGCTCACCAACCACTGTACCCATCTTTATATTCCCAGTGCCTTGCATTGTAAGTGCTCAGTAAATGTTTGTTAACAAAGTAAATAAATGAAGATCCAGACTGATACCTCTCTACAGCAGGCTGTCTTGCTATGGTTTTCTGTAGTATCTTGCACACAGTAGGAACTTAAAACTGTTGATGATGGTGGTGACACCTTCCTTATTCACAGACTGGAAGAGGTTTTCTCTTGACCATCAGATTTATTTTCTGTGTTTAAAAGAATTTCACAAGATGATGGCAAGGAAATGAATTTAGAGCCTGACCTGTGTTGTTCTAATACAGGAGTCACTTTGCTGAGGTGCAGGTATGCAGGAAGAGAAGGGAGGAAAGGTGACCGTATTCAGAGACCCTAGGATGATGTAATATTTCAAAATGAGTTCAGCTAGAGCACAGTATGTTTAAATTTTTTTTATTATTAAGGGGAAAAAAAGAAAAAGAAAATAAAAAAAACAAAGCAGTAAAAGGGTACAAATAATACAGAATTTCAAGGAAAAAATAAAGTAAGATATCACTAGTTAATAGGTTACATATTGTCATCTTTGAAATAGTTGTCCAAATTACAAATTAAAGCATGTAAAGTGAACATTCATACAATGAGATTGCACACAATGCCGATCAATGATCCAACAAAAGTTCAGTAATATGGATTTCCATCCTACACACTCAAACATACATGCAGTTATATCCCCTAGACCATCTTCCTTTCCTCTCTTTTTAATAACAATTACACTTTTGGGGCTTTTTACTCCCACAATTCTTAGTATTTTTTGGAGAGAATAAAATCTAACATGGCTAAACAAATCAGAGTCGGTTAGAACAAAAGGATGGGCATAGTACATGATGTAAAAATAGAATATCAGGTGATCTAAAATGGTTACCATTGTGCCTCTTGCTTTTAAAAAAAAAAAAAAGTTGTCAGTATCGTCAGGTATAATAGAATTGATCAAAATAGTACAGAACAAGACCAATAAACTACACTGGAGACCTTACAGGACTTCAAAAAAAGAAATAGTCAAACCATAAGGGGCGTCATAGTATATCTTATTGTCTTCAAAGTGGTTGCCTATACCCTCAAACTTGATAATATCAAACAAAACAGGATATAGAATAATCAGACAGAACAAGATGGGGAGGGCAATACTGGGGTTCAAATCAGGTTAATAGGAAAACAAAAAAGTTACTATAATATGTCCCACTATTTTTTAATTTAGTTTTCCCTTAATTGAAAAAAAATGTAAGAAAAAAATAGATTAATTTTTAAAAAAGGATGGGATTGAGGTAAAAGAGGACATTGTATTAGAACAACACAGGTCAGAACTGAACTATTTAAGCATCATTGTGTTTCATCCCCAGATAATCTAACATAATAGTAGTCACCATAGTGCCTCCTTCCTTGAATTATTTGAGTATAACTTCATATACTATAGCATCAAGCATAGTCAGTCTGGAGCTATTCAGGAGAATGAAGAAATTACAGGGTATTTAGAGCCAGTTAACAGAAAACGAACAATGGTTTCTATATTATCTCTGCCTATAAAAAATTTTGTTTATACTATCGCATATAGTAAAATATAGTAAGATACCACATGTTAAAACCACTGGAAACAGATGTACAACAGCTTGATGGGGCTTCAAAACAAGATGATATTAAATCAGCACTAGCTTTTATGATGTGTTGTTTTCTTCAGAATAGCTATTCATACTATTACCAATACTAAAATCAAACAACATAGGTTAAAACCATTGCAATTAATGAGTGATAACATTATATGGATTAAAACCAGTATGATTGGGAATCATGTTTACCATATAATTTTATGTATTCTTATCATTTCTTACTTATACTAGGGAAACTATTTGGTATTTATACATGTGAGTTTGATTTATTTCACTTATGAGTATGGTCTCAAGCTGCGTCCATTTATTTATAAATATCTCAATGTGATCATTCTTTATAGCTGAGTAGTACTCCATTGTATAAAAATACCACAACTTTTTTATCCATTCCTCAGTTGATAGACACTTAGGTTGTTTCCAAGATCTGGCTATTACAAACTGTGCTGCTATAAACATAGATGCACATATATCACTGTGGTATGATGCTTTCAGTTCTTCTGGGAATATGCCTAGAAGTGGAATAGCTGGGCCAAATGGGGCTTCTAGTCCCAGCTTTTTGAGAAATCTCCAGACTGACCTCCACAATGGTTGTACTAGTCTACACTCCCACCAACAGTGTAGGAGAGTTCCTTTTTTCCCACAACCTCTCCAGCATTTGTTGTTGTTGGTTTTATTGATCTTGGCCATTCTTTCAGGAGTGAGATGAAATCTCAGTGTAGTTTTAATTTGCATTTCTCTAATGACCAGTGATGATGAGCATTTTTTCATGTATTTATTTGCCATTTGAGTTTCTTCATCAGAAAATTGCTTATTCATCTCAGATGCCCATTTTTGGATTGGGTCTTTGAATTTTGGGGGTCTGATTTTTTTTAATTCTTTATATGTTTTAGACAGAAGTCCTTTGTCTGAGAGGCAGTTCACTAAGATTTTTTTCCCAGTTTGTGGGTTTTCTTTTCACTACGTTGGAGATTTCTTTTGATGTGCAGAAACTTTTTACTAAGAGGCGATCCCAGTTATTGACTCTGGAAAGTATTTCCCGTGCGGTTTGAGTCCTGTTCATGAATTCTTTACCTACTCCTATGTCTTCAAGGTTTTTTCCCAATTTTAAATTTTAAATAAACATTTTAAAATACTAAAAATATCTGCATTGTATAAACTAAGAGCAGAAAAGTATTTTTGATTTGTAATCAAATGACTCAGATGACCACTATTAAGATTTTACTTAACTCATTTCATCAATTCTAAGATGCAAACTCTTCCAGTATTTAACGCTGCTATGGTAACCTGTGATTAGGTCTAGTTCTTGTAGAGAAGATTTGAGGTAACCTTTGCTGGCCATCTGGAAGAACCACCAACCTGAGCCTACTTTGACTTAAATTTTGTGCTTGACATTCTTTGGCCAACACTGATAGTGTGCATTCAAATGCAAACTAGCTTGAACACTGGCTTGTAGTTCAAGTTGGTGGCTAGATATATTTGTTCTCTCCTTCTAACGACAAAATTGACATGAACAAGTTTCTTTATGTGGCCCTCTCTGTGTGGGAAGTTTGTTTGCCACTTTTAAAATGGGATATTCTATTCAACTTTGCATCTTTGACAATTTTTATTCTTAATGGCACCTAAATATCTTGTCTCTAAATATCTTGTCTCTTAAAACAAGAAATCAGGTGTTTTTATGCTTATAAACTGAAGTCATGCTGTATATCAGGTTTGTGTTCTTTTTCCATTAATGTCAGAATGTGAACATTTTGCTATCCTAGAAACTTTTTATATGCATCATCTTTAAGGTTTCCATTAGGTGGATGGATTGAATTTATTTAATCATCTGTCATTGTTGCGTAATTGTTTGAGTTTTTTGGTTGTTGTGAGTACAGTTTTGACCATTTCACTCTCACTGAACCTAATGACATTAAATTTTGCATATAGCATTGCCATGGTTGTAAAGAAGACAGAATGTCCCTTCCCATCAGGCTTACAGCCTAGCATTACTGGCCTAGAAATGAAATCTGGAATGAGGGGAAACAGGCAAGGCCACGCAACTGGTCACTCAGGCTGCTGCCTTGATTTTGCTGGAGGTGGCAATACCAATTTAAATTTTTTTGAGGCTTTTCATTGTTTTATGTTTGTTTAGTGCTTTGACCTAACAATGTTTTCAAATATATGTTGGCAATGTATGGTTTCTCTTCAGTGTACTGTCCATTTAATTTTTTAACCTACTTATAGTTTATATTGATATGTAATATGCAGTGTTTTCCAATGGTGCAGCCCGATCATGTATATGATGATACAGTGTCACTATTTTTTCAGATTTGAATGACTCAGTCTTAATTCATTCCTAATGTGATAGAACTTCAGTTGATCCCATTCATTAGCAATCCTTTTAGCAATCCTTCTCCTGAGAATACAGTCAGGCCAGCCTGTCCTTCCCTGGATTGACAGACTCTCGAATGAGTATGTCTGTCATGGTTTTAGTTCTGTGGTTTTGCAAGGAAACCATCTATCCCAAGGGTGAGGCCAAGTTTCCACCTGTCTTGCATCAATTTGAATAGGTAGATTTTCCTGCTTCTGTCCTGTCTGCCTTATCTTTAAGGCCTTAGAACCAAGGCTTGGACAGAGTGAAGTCGGGGGGTAGGGATCCTCATTACTGGGTATTGTGACTCCAAGAGGTAAATTTCTCCCAAGTACATGATTTAGGGGCTCAGATGCAACCTGAGATGCACGATTGACTCCTTTCCTACACATCTCACCTTGGAGACCCCTGGGTAGCAAATAAACAAAGTATTCAGACAAAAAAAAAAAAGTCGCATTCTAAATATTTTGGACAAATATTTTTAACTTATAGTCTCAAATTCACCTAAAAGTGCTAAAGTAATTCATTGAAATACACTATGCATGAGGCATTAATAGACAAATTTCCCCTTTTGCCCCAATTGCCACAAATTACATGGGTTTCCAGTAAACACATTGTCTCATCCATGCTGGGAACCTAGGCTGCATGCCTATGGTTTTCACATGCACTGAGGCTGCATGGAATTTTCCGTAATGTGAAGAGGCTAACCATGGAGAAAAGAATAAAGTGTGACAATGAAAATGGTGAAGCATGGGGCAGAAGCAAGATGTACAACTTCAGGGAGTCTCTTGAGTCATCAGGACCAGCAATTGCCTAATCCTCATGGCTGTATTTTCCACACCCAAACTATCTGTTCCATATTTACTATTCATCTTTCTTATCCCAAAGCCAGGGCCACAGTCATTATCTCATTATCCTGAATGACAATACACAGAAAAGAGAATGGTGTGAGTTTCCAATAGAATTACTGCTGATGACACAAGCTCTAAACCATAGCAATGACCCAGTTACTCCCTAGTTAAACAAGGTAGCCACAAATGTGGATAGCTGAAAACACTGCAAGCAAGGGAGGAAAGCCAGGGAGTGAGGTGAAAGAGACTACCCTGTCTGCCTGCCGAGCAACCAGCCCCTGCACCCTGCTTCCAGGTCCACAGTACTGTCAGTATTTTAGGTGAGGGCCTCCTCTATGGAGAGCAAAACCAGCCCCTAACTGATCAGGAGAGGCAGGAATGACAAGCTGTGAAATATGAATGGGAAACTGATCAATAACACCCACTGCTGAAGGAAAGGAATTTTGGTTTTTGGTCCTAATCTGTGAAACAAACAAGCAAGCAAGCAAGCAAACAAACAAAAAACCTCACTTCTGGGATCAAAATATCAGTTGATAAATTTTTTACTGGTAACTTGCAAGGCTTACTTTTCCTTTGATGATTCCTTTTACTGACTCCTGAGGGATGCTAAACTTTGAACGAAGGTGAGTATGCTTCAAATACATTACTCCTGAGTAAAGCAAAGTACTAAAGAACAGCAGGATAAAGGATGGATAGAAGGAGACAAGGAGATGGAAGTCTTGCAGTGAGCAGGGGTCTAGGAGACTGAGGGCAAGAGGAAAAGGAGAGCAGACGGGGAGCTAAGCAGACTAAAGATCAGTCCAACAATTTAAATGAATGTAAACATTTTGTGTCACAAGCATGAGCTAAAATTAACATCAACAAGAGTTAAAATGGGGAAAGGGGGTCTAGTGGAGGAGGCAGGGATGTGGGAGGGAAGGGGATTAAAAAGAGAGTCAAACCAAGTTATGTACATGTAACCACTCCCCAAGATGACAGTGAACTGCATGTACCGCAAACACGTAGTAATAAAAAAAGTTATCTGGGCCAATTTGTGTAGGTGGGAATGGGAAGGGAAGGTCAAGGAGGGCTCATAAACTGTGCCCATTTACAAAGGCGAAGTGTGAAAAGAACTTTAGTTGAAAAGACAAAAACAAACCAAAAAATCCAAAAAATGAAACAAAGCAAGACAACGGTCACTTACCTTCCCAGTTAGACTCCATTTGGATTTCCTCTTTCAGGAGCTCTGGTTGGAAAGGAATAGGAGGAGAAAGTGGCACAGGGGTGAGTCATAAAATGGGTAGAAAATGGTGACAAGTCTGGGTACCAAGAAAAAGAAGAAACATTTTTCCAAGCTCCTCTAGTTACCATGGTTCCTCAGTTGCTCCCTAGACCCCCCACTTCCTCTCTATGTTTGACAGGTAAATAATTTCTCATTCCAGGCCTTCGAGGTCCTTTTTCACAGACTGTCTTTTACATGGCCTTCACCTAAAAAATAATACATATCTTACAATGGAAGGTTTGTATGCTTTGACCAGTAGCCCCTGGCTTCCCTATTCTATCCTCTGCCTCTATGAGTTTGACTTAGGTTTGACATTAGTGGTGAGATCGTGAAATACTGGTCTTTCTATGTCTTCTTTCTCTTAACATACTGTCCTCCCCTTCATCCAAGTTGTAAAATGGCAGGATGTCCTCCTGTTTGTGGCTGGTTAACATTTCATTTTACCTGTGTGTCACATCTAAAGGAATCTATCCATCCATCGGTGGACACTGAGTTGCTCCTTATTCTAGCTATGGGGAACATTGGGTACACACATCTCTCTGAGATACTGGTTTCATTTCCTTTGGGTGTATAACTAAAAGTATTGTTGAATGATTTATATTTTAGTTGTTTATTTCAGAGTTTTCTTTTGTCCTTCCCATGGCAGCTCTGAGAAAGAAGTTAAATAATGTATATTAAAGCTACTTAGAATTAAAGGGAGGAATTTTTAAATAAAGCACTTTTTGGCAAAAGCAATTGCAAGAGCAATTGCAATTAGATGTCAATTGCTGACATCTAATTCTGTGTATTGCTGACTTTGTAGCCTTTCTTTTGGCAGTTTAAAATTCTGTTCAATTTTTTTCTGGATGTGGCAGTGCACACCTGTAATCCCAATATTTGGGAGGCAAAGGCAGGAGGATTGCCCTGAGTTTAAGACCAATAGGGACTACATAGTTCAAGGCCAGCCTAAACTACAAAGGGAGACCCTGTCTCAAACCAAAGCAAAGCAAAACAAAACAAACAAACAAAAATTTTTTGGTTCAATCCTCCAAAAGCTTTAACTGTGAATACCACGGGGTGGGAAGATTTTTGAATTAAGGCACATGTATATAGCAAAGACCCAAAGGTGTGTTTTCATCAGGGATATGAATTCCAGCCAAGATGTTAGAGGTTGTTTAAGGATCATTATAATAGCCAGGTGGTACTCAATTCAAATGACCTGCTGCTGCCATTGGTTGGGAGAGAATGGGAGGAGAGGGTGATACTCACACATGGCAGGTGAAAAAGAATGCAAATAATTTCTTTTCAGTGAGTTTGTTTCCAAAGTGGCTAATGGATATTTTAAAACCCATGCTACATTAAAGAAATTCTACTATCTCGCTGGCATTTTTGTAGCACATGGGTGCAGGGAGAGAGACTCTGGGGAATCCAAAGAACTATGTGCACAAACTGATTTTAATTGCTCAGAAAGTTCCTGGAGCTTTCTTTAATCAGAATGGAAATAAGGCTAAGCTGAGGGCTCACTGATTTGTGGTATTTAAGGGAGAAATGAACAGCATGTCATGCAGCTGTTAGCTGGTACAGAGAAAGGCAGGCTAAAGTGGTGGAGTGGTTGCTTTCAGTTTTTCTGTCTGTACATTCATCCCTTCCTTCTGGAGTCTCCTTGCCTGCCTTAGAGTCGCCTTCACTGAGATGGATGACACAGGTGTTTATGTAGAGCCCAAGAAATTAAACATTTCCTCCCGTGAAGAGTCTGAGACTGAAGGGCAGAAGACAACCCAAGAGAGCAAGGAGGCCCTGAGCCAAAGCCCCGAAAGTAAATTTCAGCCCACGAAGACCTCAAGCCCACGCCACGGGAAGGATGAGTTTCAACACGCAGAGACCCCAAGTGAAAGCCCCAAGGGCAAGGCTGACCATGAGAAGATGCCACGAAGTCCCGAGACGGGTGAGACTAGACGTGCAGAGATTCCTAGGACACCCTCAAAGAAAATACCCAAACATGGTACCTCTCAGGAGGAAGGTGAGGCATGTCTAGCGGTTCTACAGACTCCAGGGGCAGCACCTGTCACAAGTCCTTCGACAGCAGTACATGCTGCCCACGGAAGCAGCCCGCTGCAGGATGACAAGCCCTCTACTTCCAAAGTAAGCAAGCCATGGTGCAAGGGTGGAGGGGGCGTCACGCTTTTTGCTTTAGCTTACCTGAAGAAAAGAGTACTCAGTAGTTTGCATGTATATTGACATGCAGGCTGTGTGAATCCTCAGTTACATGTTTATTGGTAGAAATAAAGGCAAGTTTAGTTATCAGAAAAAAAATTTCTCAAAACCCCTGGCTCCAGTAACTATTTAGTATTGTCACATATAAATGTTGGGTAGGTTAAACTTTCAGGTTAAAGTATATTGGAACTGAGAAAAATATTAAGATCTCCAGCCCACCTGTGCTCTTTATATATCAGAAAGTCAAGAAATAAACTGGCTCGTTGCTTTGCCAATAGCAGACAGGACTAGACACCTGATACTTCAGCGTTAATATATTCTTTTGTGGGGCAGGGTTTGAGACAGGGTCTAACTATGTAGTTCAGGCTGAACTTGAACTCAACTTTGTAGCCCAGGCTGGCTTCAAACTCATGGCAATCCCTCTGACTCAGCCTCCCCGAGTGCTGGGATTACAGGTGAATGCCACCATACCCATCTCTTAATCTATTCTTTTCATTATTCCAATAGATTATTACTAATGTTTTCCAGCATACAAACATTCACATTCACTGTTTGCTGATGCTCTTATCTCTGCTGCTGGTGTCTTAAGCAGGAAATCTTTCCCCCTCTTTTGCTAGAGTATAGGCTTTTTGATGAAATGTAAGCAAACAAGTGATTGCTGAAATTTCTTTTAAAAAACTGAAGATAACAAATAATCCAGGGGTTGTTAGCAGTTAGCATAACCCTTTATTCTTCTGCGAAGACTGGTCTCTTGTTACATCCCTCAGGTTATTAAAGCCAAGGGTTGCTTCCAGGAGACTCTGGTGGCATGGCATTTGACCCCTAGGATGGGTGTTAGTGCTGCTCCCTGCTGGCTCAGCTGGAGGCACTTGGGGTCATTATAATAACATCTATGATCCTGTGTGCAGAACAGTACCTGTCAGTGGGTCTCCAGTTCCTCCTCCGGATGTACACCATGTTTAACAGGAAATACTAAGCTTCTTGTCTCAATTGTCAACAAATTAGTACATGCAGGTGGCCAGCAGTGGGTTTCTCAAAGGTTCCAATACCAACCAATTGATCACCAATTTTTTTGAGAGTCCACTATGGGTAAGGAGCATAATATCTCTGTCCCTCAGAGAGATTACAAACTGGGGGGGAGTTGGGTTAATAGATACTGTGATAAGTACTTCAAGAGTGGTCAGAGTTCTCTAAGCAGATTTAGTGGAATAAAAAAGGTAAAGGAAGCATATAAAGAGCACTGTAAGTTAGGATTTTAACATGTAGAGAAAGGGCTGAGAATGTGATTCTAATAAGATTACCCAAGCAAGACAACATGGCATGGTATGTATATTTCATTTAATTAGTCACAGTTTAAATAAATGCTTTGGTGGGTTAGCAGACTCTGGCAAACTCATTTACAGTAAGTCTCTGACTTATGAATATTTGAGTTGCAAAGTTTCATAGGTATTAGACTCACCTTGTTGGATATCAATGAATCTGACTCATCTGATTCATGAACAATCTTGGGAAGGAAACTCATTCATAATTTGGGGACTTACAGTCCTCTCCTCTCCTCCCCTCCCCTCCCCTCCCCTCCCCTCCCTTCCCTTACCCTCTCCTCTCCTCTCTTTTTCTTTCTTTGAGGCAGGGTCCCAGTATGTAGTTCAGGCTGGCTTTGAGTTTGCAGTGATCTTCTTGCTTCAGCCTCCTGAGTGCTGACATTGCATGCTGTGCCACCATGTCCAGCTTCTGTACTGTCTTCAGGAATTGCTCCTAAATGAATAAATGAACATGAGAACTGAAGGCAAAAGGAAAAGTATCTTCCAAGTCATGGAGAGGAAAGAGCATGCTGTACTTGGAAAAGGGTATATCATTCAGTACAATGAATCTGTGCAGGAGAGTAGAAAACAAGGCCAGAGAAGAGAGCCAAGAGCTATGTCAAGATTTTACCCTGAAAGTAGAGACCCTGAAAAAAAAAATCATAAGTCTTCATGTGTGATATGGAGGGGACCAGGAGAGAGTTTGGAGGATTGGCAGTATTTATAATAGCTTTGTTGGAAACAGAGAAGAGTGTGAACTAGGACAGGAGTGGAGAGTGGAGGTGAGAGAGGTTCAGGAATTATAACTGACTTGATGGAGGGGTTGAGGGAACAGCAGGGATAACTGAGAAGTTCTTGCTTGATTGGCTGAAGCTATAGGTTATTTTGAATCAAGTTAAGAAACACAAGAGGATGTGTAGGTTTGGAGAAAAGCAGATCTGTGGTATGAACAGGTGGTTAGATGAGTGCAGGACCACTGAATATAGTGGCACAATGTGTAATCATGGCACTTGGGAGGCTGAGGCAGGAGGATCACGTCAAGTTCTAGGCCAACCTAGACTACATGATGAGTTCAAGGCCAGCCTAAATGACATAGTGGGATGCTGTCTCCAGAAACAAACAAAAAAACCAAAACAAAACAAAACAAAAAAAACAAAAATGAGTCTGGGGTATAGGAAAACAGTTCAAGTCAGAGATCCATATTTGAATAGCTATGCCGTTGAGGAAACTGTTGAAGCCATGTTTGGGGATAAGGTCACACAATATATGTGCCAGAGGAAGAAGAAGAAATGTGCAAGTTACAAATCTTGAATACTACCAAGATTTAAAAGATAAACTGAGACTAGAGCTTGAGAAGGAAACTGGAAATGCAACTAAGAAAGTTCCAAAATTCTACTGGCTTCCTATTTCCAGACTAGAAATTCTGATGTCTCCCTGACAGTGTGTGGCATTCCAGGGCCGGTACCCTGGAAAGGTCCTTCACGTCACAGATGCATTTTACTTTCCATATTACTTCTCAGGGAAAAATTTACTATAATTCTAAGTGCATTTTCCAAGTCACATTGATAATGGAGAAACACTGTATAGTTTTATTTTGAACCAACAAGCCATCCTCATGATAAGTTTACTGAAAACTCTTGAGCTTGTCTGTGAGGCCTTTGACCAAATCTGCCAGGATTATTCGCTCTACAAACTGTAAGATGTGTGCAAAACTCTTATATGTGTTAGGCAAGCCCTCTATCACGGAGCTACAACCTCAGCCTAAATTACTTTTCTTCACTTAAGAGAAGGCATGTTTCTGAATGTACTTGGTAACTCCCTTTGTTACTGTTCAACAAATGATTGATATAAATATTTGTACACTCATTCTTAGTTGTAGTAACTGTTATATTGTAGTTTGGCTTCTGCTTTTACGTTGAAGGGTCAGGACAGAGACTGTTGGAATTTTTGTAGTCTCATGGTGCAGTGCTTGTACCTTGAGGTTCCAGTGCAGCAAGAGCACCTACTGTGTACCTGCTAGATCCACAGTAAAGTTGTTCCTCTGGCCCCGACACCGAGTGCGGCCTTAGATTCATTGTTGTAGACCTCTCCTCTTGCGCTGTGGGTTAGGGTTAGGTAGGGTTAGGCTTACATTCTCTTCCTGTACCACACTCCCGTTTAGCTGGTGACCCTAAAAGATTGCTTTTCAATACCATTTTTCAATCTCTTTATCCTACTTCATGGAGACCTTCTCATTTAATGCTATATTTTAAGTGAAACTGGGAGCTCCTCTTTTCACATTTATGTAGTCCATGAAATCTTTACAAAAATGCTCATTTCAGGGACCGAACGGCTGGTTAATGGCCTGTCTTCCTTAAGAGCTACAATTCATTCTGTAACCCTCAATATCTGTCACAGTAACTGCTGCTTAGCAAGCAAACAAATATTTGGATGAATAATTGAAGGGACATTAAAATATTAACTATGAAAACCTAAGGACAAGGTCCTTTGTAGAATCACTTTTGTCTAAACAAAGTATCTTGTTTAAATGTCCTCATCTTTAAAGATTGGAAGTAGGATGAGAACGGTGAATTTCATAGCTAGCTAGCACAACAGCCCAGGCAAAGGGACAGACCTTAACACAGGTATAGATTCCTGTGGTGACCTCATGCATCAGAATATTCAGAAACTGTAGCTGGATGTAGTAGTGCATGCCTAAAAGCCCAGCACTTTGGAGGCTGAGGCGGGAGGTTTGTTGTGAGTTCATGCCCAGCCTGGGCTACCCAGTGAGACCCTGACTCAAACAAACAAAAGAATACTATATTTAGAGACTGGATTCCATGAGCACTAGTTACAGCTCAATTAGTTACAGCTGAACTAGATCATTGTTACTGCCTCCTTTAGCAATAATGTTCTTTGGTTCAAGTATTAACTAGCTGGTACAGAACCTTTTCTTTGGACTAACTCTATCCTAACTTGCCTTTGTCATGCTTATAGGGTCCTCTGGTGAGTTCTTCAAAAGGGAAGGCCCTTTCCCGGAGCGCTAAGCATTTGCAGCTTACACCTATTCACCTCATGGATGAGGCCTCCTCACTGTCTCTAGTCAAGGTTAATCCTTTTACTCCTGAGTCCTATAAGAAATTATTCCTTCAATCCACGGGCAAGAGGAAAACCCCAGAAGATCCGTAAGTGCACAGTTTGTCTCTAGCTTTCGATAATTCCTGTGGTCATGGAGTAAGAAGACAGCATTAAAGACTGGAAGCCATAAGTCTGTTTGAATAATACTGAAATATGTTTATATATTCCTCCTCATTAGGTTCATGTGGCCCAGAGATTCTGGCATCTTCCCACCTCTTCATGTGTACTGCAGCTGGCTTCTTGATAAGGCAGCAGGGTGGAGTAAGCGTCTGCTCTCTGCCTTCAATTAGAAAGCTGAATTGGTTCAGGGAATCTCTGGTTAACACGAGGCCGGGGCTTGGGGAAGGTGTTCACATTTCAAGCAGAACATTGCTGCTCCGAGTCTAGCTTGAGTGATGACCTCTGAGGAGAACTATAAAGGATTCGAACTTCTCCGCAGACAGTAGAAGACTGCCTGAAGAGAACAAGACAGGGGCACTTTCAAAGGTGCTAAAAAAAAAAAGGGAAAAAAAGGGCTGGGTATTTGCTCAGGGATACAGTGGCTCCCTGGCAAATGTGAGGTCATGAATTCAATCCCTGGCATCAAAAAAATTTCAAGCCAAATTGCCCTTTTCCACAAAGGCCACAGAATGTAGAAAACATCCAAATAAGGACTGTGCATATTTCTCAGGGGTATTTGTTCAGGATGTTTCTACAACGCTTTATTTATTTATTTATTTATTTTGGTCATGCCTACTCAGCAAATGCACAGCTAACAATCTGAACTCTCCAGATAATTTAATGTGTCATGCTGATTTTTTTTCGTTTGGAATCAGTAACTATATTATTGAGCCTTGTGACCAAAGTAGGTCTTAACATTGTCTCCTGAATCTTAGGTAAACAGGAGTTCAGCACAAGTATACTCAGGGTACTACTTTGGGTACCAAAAATTCTATTGGATTTAACTCTTAAAAGTCTTTGTAAGTCATTAGAATCAATGGCTTCCCCTGAAGCCAGCAGGTAAAGATTTGACTCTTGGAAATAAAAGTGGTGATACTGTAGTAACCATTCAGAGCTCTGGAGAGAGTATTTTTGTCCCTTATTTATTGTCATTTTATATTGTATCAGAATGTGATAAATTTACAGCACAAATATTCATCAGTTCATTTCTATGAATGTAGTATCCTCCAATCTTTTCTACCTTGTACTTCTAAAGAAAAATCTAGTTGGTTGAGCTATAATTTGAAATCTTGCCCAAAGACCCAGAATACAGCCACTCATACAAAAGAGAATGTTTGTCAGTGACTTCTGTTTACTGGAAAGTAACCAAAGACCTTTTAGCCATGTCTGCACTTACGCTATATGTTACTTAGTTTACCTGTGAACCAACGTGAAAAGCCAGGTCCTGGGACAAGTGGGTGTTGGAGAGAGAGGTGCACCAGTGAAGAGCAAATGGCTTTGGGGTCAGACTTGGTTTCAAAATCCAGTTCTGCCAGGTGTTGTATAACCTGAACCTTGCTCTGCCTTGGTTAGCTCATCTGGGGACAATAATAACCACTTACATTTCAGTATATGCTCTGTATTCTTCCTTACTTCCCATTCTTAGAACACAGTATTCTACTTGCCTAAAACTCCTACACCTATTCCTTAGCCAGGTCCTACTCATTCTCAGAATCTGAAATTACAAATCCTTTCTTCTGGCAAAGCTTTTTAACTCTCAAATAATTACATAACTGGGCACTGTCCATGGTATCCTCTGGTGTCTTATTCTTATCCTGTCTCATATCCTTGTATTCAAATTCCCTTGTAATCTATGTCCCTAAAGAGTAATCAAAGAGGGAATGAAATTACTTAACTCTGAGAGACCCAGAACCTAGCAGAGTACTAGGCTTAATAAGAATGTTAATTATAATTGTAATCAAACATAGATACAACCTTTGTTTGTTTGTTTGAAGTGAGAAAACTGATGAAGAGGAAGGCCAATTACAAGGGCTTCCTGCTAAGGTAAGCATGGTTCTTTGGCACAGCTGTTAACAGCACAGGCTTTATCTGTTGTTCTTTTCTCTTTCATCTCCTTATTTCTTCCTCCATCTCTCCTCCCATGTCCTCATGCTCTGCCTTTTGTCTTTCCTCTCCCAGTTCTTTCTCCCTTCTTTCCTTCTCGTCTCCTCCTTTCCCACGGTGTTCTTTCTTGTCAACCCTCTGCCCGCTTATAGCTTCACCAGTGTGCAATGCAACTGAATTTATGTGAACTCTAGCTTAGGTTTTATAACCAGGTGATTTCTGATGTGTATGCAGGTAAACTAGAGTACCTAGAGTATTTTTAATAAAAGGGTTTTTTGCTTTCAGTTTTTGAGTCAGGAAAGATGACATAGATACAGAGATGTATATGTAAAATTATAACACTTTAATGTGTATTTTTATGATGCCTGCAACCTTTGATATAACATCCCTCTTTTGGCAATCTAAGAAAACTATAAAGTAAATGTTATTCTTAAAAATATCTGTTATATCTTAATTGTAAAAGCACAACAATAGAGGGCATTAAATACCCAATAGTAGTAGAATGACTAGTTAGTTTTAGGTCAGTAGAAAATTTCCATTAAGATGTTTGTAATGTAGTAAAATATGCCCTTGTGCAATGTTCAGCATATAAGACTCAAAATGTTACATATGGAATGATCAAAACTATGTATTACCAATTAAAGAAAGATGGTGTTATAATTGCTAGTATTTAAATGTCTTTTGATGATGGAAATTTAGTATTTGGTTTTTTTCTTCTAATAATTAAAAGTTGAGACTTTTCTTAGGAAATAATTTTGCAAAAACAATTCTTGATTAGAAGGAGTTGGAGAGAGGGTGCATAGCACAGCAGGTCTAGACAGTAGAGTTAGCTTGAGGTTGGCTAAGGACATTGAGAATTACATATCTTGCTAATAAAAATGACTAGAATTGGATGTTAAAGATGAGCTAGTAAGAGTCAAGATTTTTTAAACTGCTAAAGTTAGTGAAAAATTATTGGGAATTGGGACACCGATTACTTGGGAGACAAATTGGATTTTAGATATATATTGATTTATGGAAGTTTTTTCTTTCTTTTTTTGTCTTTGTTGAAATAGGGTCTCACTATGCAGTTCAGGCTGGCCTTGGACTCACTTTGTAGCCCAGACTGGCCTCAAACTCGCCATGATCCTCATGCCTCAGCTTCCCAAGTGGTAGGGTTACAGGTGTGCATCACCATGCCTGGCTTTGTGGGAATTTTTATCACAATAACTTACGAAACATTATCTATGTTCTTGGGATTTATTCTAAGGAATACATTGCTTGTCATAGGTGTAACAAAGTATTTTATTCTCATGTAATATTCGAAAGTGCCCTCTAGAAAAATTGCTCTGATCTTCATTTTAGACAGAAAAATTAATTAAGATGTTCAATGATTTGCCTGGACTCAACTACTGGGGGGAAAAGTGATGTTGCTAGTTGTCCAGTAGAGGGAGCATTTGCTCCACCTGAGTATATTCTGGTTTTTTTTGTTTGTTTGTTTGTTTTTTAAAATTTTATTTAAAAGGAAAAAGAGAAAAAACAAAACAAAACAAAGCGGTGTAAGGGTACAAGTAATACAGAACTATAAAAAAAGTAAGAAATCACCAGTTAATAGATTACACATTATCGTTTTAGAGATAGTTGCTCAAGTCACAGTATCAAAGCATACAAAGTGAACATTCAAACAGAGAGACTGCAAACAGTTGTGTTCAATGATCCAACCAAAAACATTAATATGGTCAGCTATTTAACACCCCTAAACACACTTGCAGTTGTATCCTTTAGAGCACTTTTTTCCCTCTCTTTTTTACAACAAAATTTACACATTTTAGGTTTTATTACTCCTTAGTTCTTATTTTTTTTTTTTTTTTGGAAGAGAATAAAGTCAAAGATGGCGAAACAAAGCTGTCAGTCAAAACCAAGGATAGACATAGTACATGAGGTAAGAACAGAGTACAAGGTTATCAACAATGGTTACCATAATGTCTCTTGTTTCCTTAAAAAGAATTGTGTATCTCATTAGGTATTATAAAGTTGAACAAAACAGTTGAGAACAAGACCAATAAAACTTAACATTGTAAACATTACAGGACTTCCAAAGGAGATAATAGTCAAACCAGAATGGGCATCTTAGTGAATCTTATTGCCTTCAAAGTAGTTGCCTATACCCCCAAACTTGATATTATCATACAGAATGGAACAGAGTCTAATCAGTCAAAACAAGATAGTGGGAGCATTACAGGACTTCAAAACAAGTTAATAGGAAATCAAAAAAAGTTACTATAATATATCCTGCTAATTTTTAAAATTTTTCCCCTTAATTAAAAAAAAGCCATAAAAATAACTAATTTTTTTTAATGAATAAGGGAGAGATTGAGATAAAAGAGGACATAACAACATAACAATACAGGTCAAAGCATGACTGTTTCAGCAACCTAGTGCTTCACCACCAAATAACCCGACTTAATAGTAGTTACCATTTTGTGAACTAATCTGACCGTTTTGTTCAATAGACTTTAAGGCTTTGGGGAAGACAAATTGAAACAAGATAGTTATTCAATTTGAGGTGGCAGTGTTAGCGTCCAAGACTTGAGAGAGGTAGAGAAGAGATTCAAAGGGATGGATTTGTTTGTTTTGTTTTAAACACACCCCACCCTTCTTGCTATTCCTTCAGTCCAGGACAGTACCTCTGGGTGAGAACGTATGTTCTCTGGAGGAACATATATAATAGAGTTGAGTAGTACAACCTGATGAACGAAATAATATTTTTTAAAGATGAAGAAGTTAAGTATAGAACTGTATGGAAGGTTAAAAAGAACATGGAGAAGATAGTCAGAAATTGATGTGGGGTACTTACTACTGTGAATAGTGATACAAATAGAACCCATTAATTTAGCTCAAAAATTTTTCTTTTTAAATGTAAAGGAATTTAGGAATGTAATATGGTTCAATTTTATTACTCACAAGGTTAAGAAGAATTATTCTCTTTTTTACTAAAATATTTTAGAAAAGTGTTCTACGAGAAACTAACATGGCTTCCCGCTATGAAAAGGAATTCTTGGAGCTCGAAAAAATTGGAGGTGGGGAATTTGGTATCGTCTACAAGTGTGTTAAGAGACTGGATGGATGTATTTATGCAATAAAGCGCTCTACAAAACCTGTGGGCATGTTATCAAATGAGTGAGTACCTTTGAAATGTATGGGAAGAGTTGGATTCAGAGAGCTGTTTCTAGTCAAATAGTTCAACAGTATTGACATCATCAAAAAGTACCATTTGCTTCTTTTTTGTTTTTTAAAAATCATTCCCCTATTGTATGTCATCTCATATTCACAACCTTTTCAATTTTTCAGTATAGCGTGCTTTTTCCAAAAATAGAATATGATAATTATGGATCATGTTATAATTTTTGTGGCTCTCTCAGCTTTTATTTTTTCTACTAGTGGTATCTTTTTTAAGGAATAGATTTATGGAATGATGGTATTTGTTCAGTTCATCAGAAATGATTGCCAACTAGGAAGTTACGGTTAATTTACTGGTTTCTAATGCTTTGTATTAGTAAGAGTTCAATAGTCATTTCAGCAACTATATGCAAAGAAAAACTATTAAAAGTTTATCTTTTATTTCCAGAACTAGTGGTTCAAAATTCTTCCTTAATCTCAACAAAAACAAAATTTCAGAGTCAGCCAATGCTATCCAAAGTCTGCGGATATAGTATCATGTTGGATCCAAAAGCATAGGCTTTAGAATTGTTCATCTTTATAGTGAAATTGACCAAGTACTATGTTTTGCTTGTGGTAGGCTTTCCTATTGCATAGGGAATATCTTTCCTCAAGGCTGTTCCTGCAACTCTATCATACTTGGCTGAGTTTAACACTTGAGTTTAACTCCTCTCTCCTTCAGAGAGGAGACAGAAGCTTATCACAGTAGCCACAGTCAAGTGTTATGGTGGCCTTCTTATTAAACTCATTAAGGTTTTTATATTGTAACACAGTGAAATGAAACCCGAGTCTTTGCTAAGAAAGACTTTAAAAAAACACACGTGCTATGTTCAATAAAGAAGAATGGACTTTGGAATCAGGCTGCTCACAGGTCTACCATTACCAGTTTGGCTTTGGGCCCACCATTTACTTTAGTAACTTCATCCTATCTGTTAGATCTTACCAAGAAGATATAAATATTAAATGCAATGAGGTCTGATTAAAAAAAACATGGTGAATGCTTAAACTTAAGATTTAGTACAGTTGGGGGCTGGGGATTTAGCTCGGCGGAAGCACCTGCCTTGCCAGCAGATGGCCATGAGTTCAATCCCTGGTACTGATTAAAAAAAAAAAAAAAAGGTTTAGTACAGTAAAAGGCACATGGTTATTAATTTCCTTCAAAATAGTCTCCTTAGCTTCAACACACTTATCCCACTGTTCCTGCCATTTTTTTCTTTTTCCTTCAGTTTTTACTGTTTTATTAGTTATGTGATAAACTTCAGTACACAATGATCACAGTCCTTGTGGGGAGCTGGTATATTCACACAATACAATTTAATTCTCTTTTCATTCCCTTCCACTCCCTTCCCTTTCCTCCATCTTTAGGTCCCCTCCTATTTTCAAGAGGCCTATCTCCCTATTTCCCACAACCCATGTTATTCAGCTCCTTATTTATTTATTTTTGATACTTGGAATCAAACTTAGGACCTGTGCTTGCCAGGCAGGTACTGTGCCACTGAGCTATATCTCCAGTCCAATCCTTATTTTGAGTTTTTCATATAAAAGAAACCATGTGATACTCAAGCTTTTGTGTCTGATTCATTTCGTCCAATACTTTTATCTTCAGGTATATCTATCTTCCTACAAATAACCCAAGTTTATCCTTCTTTAGGACACAGTAGCACTTCATTATGTATAAACACCATATTTTCTTTATTCATCTATTGATGGACATAAAGACCATCTCCAAGATTTAGCTATTGTATATTGTGCTGCTATAAACATGAATGGATTGCTATAACAGGTCTCTAACTCTTTGGGGGAAAATACCTAGATGGGAATACCTGGGTTGAATAGAATTTCTTGTTTTAGTTTCTTGAGGAACCCTCATAACTGACTTCCAAGACTGTACAACAGTAATTTACATTCCCACCAACAATACAGAAAGGTTACTTTTTCCTCATCGCCTTGCCAGAATTTATTTCATTTCATGATGGTAGTCATCTTTTCTGGGGTAAGACGGGATTTCAGTATTTTCATTCACATTCCTACAATGGGCAGATGCCAAATGGTTTCTCATGTATTTATTGGCCATTTATATTTTTTCAGAGCAGTATCTGTTCGTTTCAGTTGCTCGTTTTTTTACTGGGTCCTTTATTATGGATGGGTATATATTTTTAAGTTCTTCATACATTCTAGATATTAGTCCTCTGTCCAACGAAGAGCTAGCAAAAATTTTTCCTATTTTGTAACTTGTCTCCTGTTTCCTTCGCTGTGCCAAAGCTTTTCAATTTATAATCCCACTTGATTCTTGATACTGTTTCCTGTGCAGTTGCAGTTCTGTTCAGAAAATCCTTGTCTTTACCTGTGTCAAGATCAAACATCTTCTAGTAGGTTAAATACTGTTTTGCCTTTAGATCTTTAATCTGTTTTGACCTTAGCTTAGTACATGGTGAGAGATGTGAGTCTGGATTCAGTCTTCTCCATATGGATACCCAGTTTTCCCAGCACCCCTGTATTAGAGGCTGTCATTCCTCTCGCATAAGTTTCCAGTCCTGTTATGCAAGATCAGGCAGTTGAACAGGCTTGAAGTTGCTTTTGCATCCTATATTCTGTTCTACTGATCCACAACTTTTTTTTTTTGCAATATGGTGCTTTTAAAAAGATTACTGTAGCTTTGTTGTGTAACTAGAAGTCTAAGACTATAGTACCTCCTGCTTTGTTCTTGTTACTCAGGATTTTTTCTGCTATTTTTGGTCTCCAGAACTGCTTCAGAAAGTGGCAAGGATGATGGGTCATATGTATTCAAAATGAACATATTTGGGGGAGTATCATAAGGGGATTAATGGCAATGTTTTTTATTATAGTACACTTAAAAACTTTAAACACTCACTGTATATTTTGATTGAGCCTTATAAAGTAGTAAGCATGTAATAAGCACACAATAAATGTTCTGCCATTGTTTATCTTTTACTATTTTATTTTATTTTTTGAGACAAGGTCTCATTGTAGAGGTCAGGCTGGTCTCAAACTTACTGTGTAGCCCTGCCTTTGCCTTGAACTCGTGGCGATCCTCCTGCTTCAGCCTCCTGAGTTCTGGGATTAGAGGTGTGCACTACTACACTTGGAATTTGTTCTGGTTTGTTTTTTTGAGACAGTGTCTCACTTTGCAGTTCAGGCTGGCCTTGAGCTCACTTTGTAGCCCAGGTTGGTCTTGAACTCACATGATCCTCCTAAGTACTGGGATAATAGGCGTGTACCACTAGACCTGGCAATGCCTCATATCTTTAAAGAAATTTTAATGTATACCATCTTGATTAATTTTTTCACTGTTTTTCTCTCTCTTAGAAATACGCGCTTGCGCGAAGTTTATGCTCATGCAGTGCTTGGGCAGCACCCCCATGTAGTACGCTATTACTCCTCCTGGGCAGAAGATGACCGTGTGATCATTCAGAATGAGTACTGCAATGGTGAGTTCATGGACCAGTATCCACAGAGAGGGAGACTACGTTGTCAAGAAATAAACTTTGCTTCCTCATAGGTTATGCTGAGCACAGTTCTGTTGTGTCTAAAGTATCTGCTCCATAATCTTGCCTGGAAACAGAGTTTTAGAAAATAGGTGAGTTGAAAACGAATTGCTAGGAGTATAAGCTGGTACCTAGCTGATACATAAAAATCACCATTCTCTTTGCACCTAACATTTAATCAGGGAACTTTTGACTTCATACTTTCTTTTTGGTCTTTTTTGAGACAAGGTCTTCCTATGCAGTTCAGGCTGGCTAAGAGCTCACCGTGTAGCCCAGGCTGGTCTCAGACTTGCAATGATCCTCCTGCCTTCGAATCCTGAATACTGGGATTACAGGCATGCACCACCATACCTGGCTTGCCCTAATACTTTGGCAAATATTTGTTTTACAGTTTATTAGGTATTCTCAAAAATATAAGTCATATCATTTTAGGAAGAGTTGGGGTTTCAGACACAGAGACAACCTTTGAGTAATAGACAAGTGGATTCCTAATTGGAGGGTTCATCCTTCTTCCTGCATCTTACCTTTGAGCTTTAGTGCTCTCCCTCAGGTAAAGGCAGGGGGTGAGGTGCAGGGACAACACTTAGTGGCTTCAGATGGATTCTCCTAGGTCTCTCATGGAACACATAGTAACTGGTGACATTTTAGGGGGCTACTTAGATTATAGTAGTACTTTGGTTTAGCATAATTCTAATCTAAGATTGAGGCTATAAGCAGTAACAATACAGTATGTGGTATTAGTCTTGGAGATATTTTTCATTAAAATGTTCAGTGAGAAAGTAGACTACAAATCCAATGAAAGTTTCACCTCACTTTAAGGAACAGCAATCCATATTTTGGCCACAGTAATTTTTATTTTATTTTATTTTCATTTTTGATACTGGGAATTGAACTCAGGATCTTGTGCTGCCAGGCAGGTGACAACAGTAATATTTGCAAACCACACATAGGTCTGGGTTGATTTAATAGTATGGTCTACCTTTTAGCAATTTTAGTAAGCATCAGATGGCTCTGAGCACATATGTCCAGCCTGGATTTTGAATGATGGAGTATCACCATTATATAGTAAATGAACAAGTAGGTAAGTTAATAAAGACAAACAGTACACACATCCTGCAAAATAATGGTGTGGCATTTCTCTTGTTTCCTTGTATATAAGATTTCTTCACATTCTTACCTGTGATATTTGGAGGGCTTTTTTTCCTCTTACAAATTCAAATTAAATTTTCTTTTTTAATATCCTATTTGGGGAAAGAATCCTGTCCTTATGCTTACGACTGAGAGATTGAGACTTTTCTTAATCATCTTCACTACTTAATGACCTCTTCCTGAAATTCCTGTATTCCTTATTCTTTATCTTTCCTCTTTCTATAAGAAAGATTGAGTTTTCTATTAATAGATAGATTATATAATAAATATAATAAAAATTAGTAAAGCAAAGCGTTTTTAACTGGGTTTGGGAGCAATAAGATTTCAGAATTTTCAAAAAGCTTAAGATTGTCTCTGCTAAAAATCATTGTTATAATCTACATCAGTATCTGAATATCTTCTGTAGGGTTGAAACTATCAAGTTCTAAGTATGGAAATACTCTAGAATGAGATAAAGTCCTTACCTTGAAGGAGCTTTGCTCTACTTACTCTGTTTAAGATGACTACATGAGGCAGTTGGGTGCAAAGCTAGCTCATTCAACTACGGATAACACACAGTCAGAAGATGAGGGTAAAGAAGTGCTGGAAGCGGCCTCGATTTTAAAATCAAGGCAGGGACTGGGGATTTGCTCAGCAGCATAAGCACCTCCCTGGAAAGCATGAGGTCATGAGGTTGATCCTTGGTACCAAAAATAAAAAAGTCAAGGCAAATCTGGGTTCAAAGTCAGATCTGCTACTCACTAGTTGTATAACTGCTGGCATGTCACTTAATATCAGGGTGATAATGTTTAATATTAGGACGATAATGTTTACCTAGTGGAGTAGTTGAGAATTAGCAAAAATATATGCCAAATGTAATGACAGTGCCAATACCTGATACACAGTAAAAACTCAACAGTAGTTTCTATTAGAGTAGCTCAAGAAAGTTTCATCGATCCCTGGTACCAATAAAAAGGAAAAAGACAAAAAAAAAAAAAAAAAAAAAAAAGAAAGTTTCATAAAGCTGATGTAACTTGAACGAGAAGCTGCGCAAGATTACTAGGGTTTAGGAAATGTAGGGGAACATTAGGAAATGTCAAACAGCACAGTCAAAGGGAGTGGTGTTGGGTCTGTTCTAGCAGAGAGTAGGAGTCTCACGTAAGTGGAGTGGCCCTATAGTCGGGAATGAGATCAACAAGGGAGCAGAAGGGAGAGAGTAGAGAGAGAGGGCCTGGAAAGCCTGGCAATGGATTTTCAATTAGATGTGGATAATTATAGGGAATTACCTCTTCATCGAGTACTTGCTAATTAAGTTTGATTTTGCAAAACATAGTCCACATACTTTGTACCTTTCCTCTGCCCATTCTTTCTAGTCTCTTCTTCCCTCACTCTCTGCCTGCCTTCGGACTATTCCTGTTTTACTTACCCACTGCCTGCTCTTCTCCCTGGCCTATCACAGCAGTCAGGCTGGAACATGCACACTCGGAGTTTTAATTTAAGTTGGGTGATCAGGATAACTTAGATTATGAAGTAGATGATGACTATGGTAGGTTAGTTATCCTCTGTTTTCTCTTACTGTTTCTCTTGAACCCTGAATTAATGAAATGTTCCTTCCTTCTCTCTACCCTTGCCAAACTCCTCTACAAGTCACATCTGGGACATCCTCAGAAATCTACAGGGCTTCCAGTAGATGTCTACAAACCCTAGGATTTTAGTTGATTCAGGATCAGACTATTAGGATCTCTTCAAAGGTGGTATTTTCTTGCGACATATATCAATGAAGTGTTATCAAGCCTAGTGTTTAGAATGATGGTTCTCACACTTGCTTGAGTGACATTCCATCCAGGTCAGTGCTCTCTGTGGGATACCATGAATACTGGTTGGATTTTTCCACCAAACAAGGAAACATTAGAGAAACATTAGGCAGTAACATAAGATGGTAAAAGTGCAAATTTATGAACCAAATATCTCTGTTGAATTCTCAATCTCCTCTTTATGTTATTGTTGGAAATAATTTTCTTTGCTTTTTTTTTTTCTTTTTAAAGACAAGATCTTGCTGTGTAGTCCAGGCTAACCTTGTACTCATTATGTAGCCTAGGCTGGCCTCATTGCTCTGTTTGGATATATTAGGCTCTATATATCAGCAGAGAGGAAAACATAAATGTCTATTTACAAGGCTTTAAAAAAAACTTCCTTCTGTCGAGAGGGTAAAGTACATTATTTTACTGCAAGCAGGGAACTCAGCCCATCTCATGAAGTTGGTTTGAGAACTGCTGTCCAGGAACTGTGGATTCCTTTCTAGGGCACACAGCTTGTAGTACAGAGATTCCTTTGGGGTATGCAGTGAAGGCTGCAGTGTGAGGTGATTCAGAATCCCCATGTCTAGTAATACTTCCTGACTGACATTATTTAGTAAAGATCTGTGCTCTTTTATTAGTAGTGGATGATCCTCTTTAGCTATAGCAGAAATGAATACTTTTCAGGAACTTGTAACGCTGTTGTTATTGAGCTAACTTCCATCTTACACACAGAGTGTCTAGGCATTTAAAAGTGGAGCTAGCACTTACCTTTCTGAACCCTGCAGCTCTAGAGTGGACTAGAAACATCTCCACTTTTATCTACAAGAACACATTAAAGGATTCCTAAGTACCCCAGGAGGCAGCTTTCTTTGTCTACTTTTAGGTTTTTCTTTTCTCTCTGTTGCCAGGATAAAGATTTGAGACACAAAATATTTATTATGTTCCAGGTCTTAGGAGAGGAAGTATGAATTAGATGTGGTCACTGCCCTTCAGGAGTACCCAGGCCAGCAGGGAAACAAGAGTTTATTGGATGTAACGTTCTTCCTCCTTGTTAACACCTCATAAAGTCACCTACAAACTTAGTTTTGAAGGGACTTAATTTTTAGCAAGATTCAGCCAGGCATGGTGGCACACTCCTGTAATTCCAGCACTCAGGAGGCTGAAGCAGAAGATCGTCATGAGCTTGAAGTCAGCCTGGGCTACACAGCAAGATGTGTTTCAAAAACAAAGCAAAAACAAAACCCAAACCTTTGCAACAAACATACTTTTTTTTTTAATACCAGTGATCCATCATGGATGGCTTCATGCTTGCCAGGCAGGGGCTTGTGCTGCTGCGCTAAATCCCCAGCCACAAACATGTATTTTTAACAAAATCCAAAAAATTCTTTTTCTTTAATAAGTCATTTATAGTGTGTAAGTTCTTTTCTTAAACTCTCAGAAAACTAGAACTCTAGGGCTGGGAATTTAGCTCAGCAGCATATGCACCTGCCTTGCACGTGTGCAGTCATGAGTTCGACCTCCTCCTCCCACAAAAAAGAAGGAAAACTAGAACTCTTTACTGTAGTGCTTTGAGTTCCTGAAAGGTCCAAGATAATTCTTTCTGAACTTTATTTTAGCATGTCAGATTAATCTCTGAATTCAATTTTATAAAAAATTAACTTTAGGTACAGATTTCTTCAAAAGTTTATTACCATCTCAGATCCTATTAGCCTATTTTTTCCCCTTTTTTCTTTTGAAACAGGGTCTTCGTGTAGTTTAGGGTGGTCTGGAACTCATTATGTAGCCCAGTCTGGCCTTGAAATGTGTGGCAATCCTTCTGCCTCAGCCTCCCAAGTGCTGGGATTACAGGTGTGCAACACCACACCCAGCTCCTATTAATCTAATACAAAGGTGATGTGTAGTTATACATTTTGTAACTACCAATGGGAGCCAGGCACTGTAATTTGAAGAACCTGCTAGTAATGCTAATAGGGTTCAGAAGCATTCTGATACTTGAGGGTGGTGTCTTACAGCAGGTAGTATATAAATTCTGGACTTGTATTTTAATTGACAAGAAGGATAATGTAACCTACATATAATCTACAGCTGATGTACAAATACTATGGGTGAAATAGGATTCAAGTGTATACAGAGCTAAACATGTTCTTGGGTGGACAAACATTAAATGTTCTTTTTGGTGATATATATTTTTAATGGATTTAGAATCTGTTGCATCAAAATTCTGATGGCCTAAAACTTCTAGGCTATCAGTGACATAGAACTAATTGTTGCTTGATTGGCCTTCTGAGTAATAACTTAGTAAAAGTTTTAAAATATTAGTTGGCACAAATTTAGGCTATAGAGCCACGTACTGAATACCTTAGATACTGAAATTTTCTTCAGAAAGTCCTGCAGTTCTTCTTTCTGACATACGCATGGTATAGACATGAGACAGATAGTTTCATGTTTTGCGCTGACAATAAAATAATCTAGGCTTGAAAATGTCATTGTGGGAAATTTATTCAGTATTTACTATGCCTAACATCTGCAAGGTTCACACTCATTTTCTCCTTCTGTGGGGTTATTCTGTTTCTTTCCCAGGTGGAAGCCTGCAAGCTGCTATATCTGAAAACACGAAGTCTGGTAATCATTTCCAAGAGCCAAAACTCAAAGACATCCTTCTGCAAATTTCCTTGGGGCTTAAGTACATCCACAGCTCTGGCCTGGTGCACCTGGACATCAAGCCTAGTCAGTATGGTTCCTTCTGTTCCTCCTGCCACATTTTGTTCTCATCAAAATCTGTGCCTGTATGTTTACCAAGTGTCCGAGGTGGAGAGTGTGATCCCTTTCTTTGATTTGTTTCTCCAGAAAAATTTTGTTTACATTTCTTTAACTATTTCCTCCTTGGGCCCACTGGATAGAAAGGAAAGGACTTTCCCTTATATAAAGGGAAAACATAGAAGTAGATATTTAATTTACTACCTAAAATGGCAGCAAATAGGCTGTGTTTTGATCACTGAGCTAGTGCTATACATTTTCTAATTCAGCATTCATCACGGTGACAGCGTTTTTCACTTCTAATTCAGCATTAATCACTTGTCAGTATGAACTCTAAGCATGTTGTTAGTACTGTGTTTGTTTTATTTTGAGACAACAGTACTCTGCCACTGATCTTCAGAACAGATGAGGACATAAATACATTAGTTAAGTACTGCTAAGCACTATGTTGCAACATAACATGAGAGATTACACAGGGGGAAAACCACACCGAAGAAAAAAGGGAAGAAAAATCCACAAAAAGAATCTTGGGGAAGAATTTAGGAATCATTACTTATGTCTATTCTGTATTCTTTTTTTATACCGGAGATTGAACTCCCCGATTTCGCACTGGCCAACCAGGTGCTTGTGCCACTGAGCTAAATCCCTGGCTACTCTGTATTCTTCAGGCAACATCTTTATTTGTCATAACACACGAAGTGATTGTCCTGGAGTCCCAGAAGAGACTGAAAATGAAGCTGACTGGTTTCTCTCTGCCAGCGTAATATATAAAATTGGTGAGTTTCCCTTATCCTCGTCGGTATACTTTTATCCTGTGAAACTTACACTGGTGACTCCCAGTTAGAAGACATACTTTTAAAGAGTTCTATTTCTTTTCTCTTTATTTTCTTTTTTTCAGGTGACCTGGGTCATGTGACGTCAATAAAAAAACCCCAAGTGGAAGAAGGAGATATTCGCTTCCTAGCTGATGAGATTTTTCAAGAGGTATAGAGCTATAGAGAACTTTCTTTAATTAATTAATTAATTAATTAATTAATTTGTTTCTTTGTCTTTTCAAGGGAGGGTCTTACTATACAGTTTAGGCTGGCTTTGAATTTACAATGATCTGCCTGCCTCAGCCTCCCGAGTGCTGGGATTACAGGCATGCACCACAACGCTGGTCTGTTATTTTATTCATGACATGGTCTTGTTGTGTTATCCAGGCTGGCCCTGAACTTGTGATCCTTGTCAGCCTTAGCCTCCTGAGCAACTTTCTCACTCTAAAATGAAGGCTCACAGCACAAAAAATCGAGTGTCTATAATATAAATGTATAGTGTCTCTTTTTCTGATTCAGAACAGAGACCAAAGATACTCTTCCAAAAAGCATGGAAATCTGGCTCAGTCAAGAACAAATCTATGTTCCTTCTGCTTGTTTTCTACAAGTCCTTCATTATTTCTGTTTCTTAGAATTCCTAACCTCATGAGTTGCCTATTTGGCAGCAATCCTCCTTCTTGCTGCTCACATAGGTCCAACCCATCTTTATCATGCTATTGTCTTTCAGACAGTACCACCTGCTCTGGTACTACAATGACCTTTAGTCACTACTCATCTTCTTAGATGTTTTTTGGGTCTGACCTAGGAAGAATACAACTATAACTTCTTCCCGGGTGATAATCAGGAGAAAAATGAGTGTTTCATTCCTTTGATCAGCTAATGTATGTGCCAATCCTCCTTGAGCCTGACAAAGCAAAATAGAACTAAAATTCTACCTTGACATTTTCAGGGACAGCAGGTTTAATAAGGTATACTTATGTTCCCTCTATTTCCTTAAAAATAAGCTATTAACTATAGTAGATATAATTCGGCCTATGGTGTATAGAGCTAACATATACTTGCATGAACCTCTCCTACCAGTTATTTGACTTATTTCAATTGACAAATTACCTGGCATTCCTCTGCTATTTTTCAGGATTATCAACACCTTCCCAAAGGTGATATATTTGCCCTGGGATTAACAATTGCACTGGCAGCTGGAGCCAATACTTTACCCAGTTGTGGTGAAGACTGGCACTGGATCCGTAAGGGTAACTTTCCGGATGTCCCTCAGAAGCTCACAGAAGATTTTCACAATTTGCTCAAGGTGACATATCTCATGAGATGACAGAAGACAAAATGTCTATATTTTTAAAAATGTGATGGCATGTAGGGGGCAAAAAGAAAGTAGAACTGTTGGTGGTGCCATAAAGAGAAGGAGAAAGGAAATGTGATAAGGAAGTCCAGAAAAGATATAGAACAGATTGAAAACATCTCAGGGAAACTGAGAAATACTTCATGTAATTGTTTAAATGTCGTATTATGAACATTTTTCATTTACTTAATAACTGTAAAATAGGAAGGTTGCATCTCATTGTGTAGTGGCAAAAACTCAAGGTTTACAGTAGCTATCTGACTCTTGTATTCACTTGTGTTTATCTACTTCTTTTTTGGTGGTAATGGGAATTGAAATTGGAACTTTGTGCACACTAGACAACTGCTCCACCATTAAGCTACACTTCCAGCTTTTTGAGACAGGATCCTGCTAAGATGCCCAGGTGATCCTAGTGCCTCACTCTCCTGAAAGTTGGAATTACAGTCATGTGCTACATGCCTACCTTAGAGTTAAAATTTGGTTAACTCCAAAATAATGCTTGGCCTTTTCCCTCCTAATTCAGAGTTTTAATGATTACCAGTGGTAACAGTGATGACATTAACAAAAGAAATGAATTTCAAGTGTATGTAAAAAAATAAGCTACTTTAATGATAACTGACAATACTACTAATTATTGAGCTATTGGAAAAGAAGTGTGATGTCAACTAAAAAACTCTGTGCTGCTTGTATTTAATGTATATGTGCAAGGGCAACCAAAAGGGATATTACGTTTAAACAAAAAGATGAAAAGAAAACCTTACACTGTCAAGTCTAGAATCATACTGAAAAAAACAAAATGTACACATGATTTCATGGAGTAGGAAATAGCATTGGTTAGGATGCCTAAAATAGTATTAAAATATCTATCTACCTTTGGAGATGAGTTTATCTGAAAATTTCAAATGCTGTCCTTCCTGACTTTCTTTTGCTTTCTTGGGAGGAGGTAAGCCCTTCCATACAATGGTCTTTTATTCAGGGTAATGTGTATGTGAAAACTGCTCTGAGATACAGTGGTACCTCAGTTTATAAACATTTCTTTCTACAATTCTATTTGCAAACTGAATTGGACCACAAACCAAATCAAATTTCTCCATGAGGTCAACACTGAACCTAACTGTTGAAACTGATTCGGTTCTCATCCAACTCATCCAGCTTGCAACCAGAATCATGGAAAGAATTAAGCTTGCGAATGCCAAGGTACTACTGTATAGCTGATACTTACAAATACCTAACTATTGACTCAGCTAGACAATTCTGTACATGTGTGTTAGTTCATTAATTCTCACAAGAGTCCCACAAGGAGAATAACCGTCCTCCCAAATCATAGGCAGGGGAACATGATTTCCATCAAAATTTAATGTACAAAGTAAAAGGTGGAGCTGGCTCTGAACGTGGTCCCCAAGTGGAATGTTCAGTGTTTTCATCATTATATGACACTGTTAATTAATATGACACTGTTAATTAGATAATTAATTAATTCTCTCATTACATATTTTCTACCATATTCAAATCAGGTTATAGAATTCTCTACCTTGACACAAATGCTTTAGGAATACTGTCTCATGGTGAGTCATTATTAGGAGAGAAAGGAGCAAGACATAGTAGAAAGTAAGGTGAATGAAGACTGAGGTCAATGTGGGTTTGGGGCTTGGCCCTTCCAGTAAAGACAAATCACTTTTTATGCTGTGACTCAGGTTTTTGCACATTAAAATTAAATCATTGGACTAGTTAACCAACCAGCTCTCAAATATTAAACAGTACTTAAACACATTAAAGGGAGACTGGACATGGTGGCTCATGCCTATAATTCCACAACTTGGGAGGCTGAGGCAGGAGGGTTGCTGTGGGTTCAAAGCCAGCTTGGACTATACAGTGAGTTCAAGGCCAGCCTAAATTGCATAGTGAAACCCTGTTTCAAAAAGATAAAAAATAAACAAACAAGTTAAAAGGGTGGACAACTAATGTTACCAGACATTGATGATCATTATTCTCTCCAAGGCAGAGATAATTTTTCACTTATCCCCTTCCCCTGCCCGGAAGAGAAGCAGGGTTTCACAGAATCCACTGGGCAGAAACTGGGCTGAGTTTGGCCTCGATGGGGACAGTTTCCCAAAGTGAAGCTTCTCTTTTGTTTTGGCCCTATGTTACTAGAATATGATCCACCCTGATCCAAAGGAGAGACCTTCTGCAGCAGCTCTAGCCAAAAGTCAAGTTCTCCGGCCCTCCCTGAGCACCACAGAAGAGCTCCAGCGGCAGCTCATCTTGGAAAAGTCGAAGATAGCTGCACTGGAAAGGTAGACTTGGGTGTTGGAGTCAAGAAAGAATCTATTGCAAACGAGTCACAACAGTGGCATGTCTCTGAAGAGTCAAGTTTATGCATAATCTGTGCAATCTGTGCAAGTTTATGTAATCTATGTTGTGATTCATAGGCTCACTGAGGCCCTTTGTTGCGTGAGACTGGGCAGTTTTGTGGCTGGGGAGTTTAAGAGAAAATTCCAGGTAACGTAAAGGAGGAAAGAGGGAGGAAAATAATGAAATAATACTGGTATAGAAACCTTTGGCTTCTGAGGGTCAGCAGAGTAAATGATGGTGATCACTTAATGTATGGGAAACTTAGATAAGGTAAGTAGAGACTATTTTAGAAACCCACTAGAATAGGCATGCAAACACATTGTCTTGGTATGTGTTTAGATAACAGATTTTTTTCTGAGCAATTCAATCTTTTGTAGGTTGGTATACATTTATTAATGCATTCATTCATTAAAAAATTGTGACTTAATGGCATGAGGTTGGAATAGAGGTCAGGCAGTGGTGTTTGGCAGTGTTCTGTTTGTTTTGTTCGGTACCGGGAATTGAACTCTCAACCTTGCACCAGTCAGGCAGGCACTGTGTGGCTCAGCTGTTTTCCTGGCATTTGGCAGTGTTCTGAAGAAAATTTTAAAGTGGTCATTATAATACTAGGTACTGCTAGAAATACAAGAGGAAACAGAAAATGGTCCTTTCTTGAAATACACTTACAAGTCTTTCTTCTCTTGATACAAAATCCATCTTAGAAAGATTAGTTTGAAAGATTGAAGTCTCCAAACAGTTTTCTTGGAAATAAACTGCAAAGATTCTCAGTCTTTAGCCAGGAATTATGCCCAATAAGCCACTTAATTTTTTTTAATTTACCATTAATGGAAGACATAGGAAGCTTATTTTAAAATGGGACAAATTATCAGAATAACAAAAATAAGAGAATGGGAAAAAATGAGTTTTTCTGTATCTGTGCCACATGGTATCTCCATTCTCCCTCCATCACCGCAATGTATTTGTAGCCCATAATAACAAAAGAAGCTCTTCCCCTCAAGGTCATGCCTGTGCAGCTGGCCTGTTTCAACAGCCATATCATCTTCTGTGGGTGCGTCTGATGCTACCCAAGATTCATTTGTTCCAGTCATCTGTAATGACCAGAAAGGCAATTCCCACGTCAGTCACTCCATTTATCAATAATCTTCTGGCAAAAGCTGTGCGCACAAGGCAGGCTGAGGTCAACTTGTGCAAGATACCACACTCGTCCTCACCAGTCAGCTGCTTCCTCTTGCCGTCCCAAGGCCAGCCTGACAAGATGTCACAGAGAATAAGTTTTCCCAGATTCCTCAGAGGTGAAGCTCTGAGGCCACACTCCTGCTGCTTGACTTGTGATTTCTTTATAAAGCTGAATGAACTAGCACCTCTTCATGATCTGTGATGCTTCTACAATGTCACTGCTTTTTTCAGTCTTGGAACAGATCATCCATACCACCACTTTCCAAAAGGGAGAGGAACCAAGACCAGGTTGTCTCTCCAAGAGAAGATGCTTTTCCTGGCCAGTGGCCATTTTATCTATTACATTCACTGAGTTTAGCCACTCACCCAAGAAATCATAAGTGAAGAAGCTACTTTCTCTAAACAATGTGACATGTTTTGCTACTCTTTTTCTGGTAACTTGTTAATAACCAGCTGTGTCTCATCTGAAATATTCTGTCCCATGATGAAATATCTTTTAGAATCCAGAAAGTATTGTTGTCCATATTTTCACAAGTTCAAGACACTGTGGTTCCCACGGCTCAGGCCTGTAGTCCCGCCAGGGGAAGCAGGCCTTTATTTTTTTTTGCCGATTTTGAGCTTCATTGTCCCATATTAGGAACTAAGTACTCATCCATATATATGCTTCTCAAAAATACAAGTACTTTGGAGAGTTAGAGTATGTAAGCTGTGAGGCGAACTCTGGATATCCAGTTAACTATCCCCAGTGAGTGTTAGTAGTGGGAAAGATGGCATCTTCTAAGGGTCTAAAGTAGAGGTCAGCAGCTTATTTTACAAATGGCTAGATAACACATATTTTATGCTTCATGGGCCATGTGACCTCTGGCTGTAATGATTCAACTCTGTTGTTGTGTTGTAAAAACAGCCATTGATTGTGATTAATTCCATCTATCTAACTGAGAGGCTGTATTGTACTAAGACTGTTTACAAAAACAGGCAGCATTAATCTAAGTGCTTTCAGAAAAAAAACAAAAACAAAAACAAAAACAAAACAGGCAGCAGCACAGATTTGATCCAGGGGCTGTGGTCTGTTGACTTCTGTAGCTTATATCTATCTGGCTGGCTGGCTGGCTGGCTGGCTGGCTGGCTGGCTGGCTGTCTGTCTGTCTGTCTGTCTGTCTGTCTGTCTGTCTATCTATCTATCTATCTATCTATCTTCTGTATCTCCTGAAGAGTATATTCATTTAACCTTTTAACCTTAAAGACTATTTATGAACCAGTTGATAGGAATTGGGGAACGGAATCTACCAGATGCAACGGCATGTGTGTGTTTCTCTTATAACAATCACAATCACAGGAAGTGCATTTTATATTCTCTATATACCTCAAGTTTGTTACCATAAAAGTAAAAGGTAAACCTATCTAAGGTGTGATTGTAAATACTGTCTGTAGTTGAGGAACAAGTAACATATTTTCCCCTTTGATTGCAGGGAACTGAGAAAAATCCAGCAGACCAGGTCCTCCCAGGGAGACCTCCACCCTGACAATCCTGAGGTCTCTGCGGGCCAAACAGAATCAAGAAGTCCAAAACACCTGGCGAGAAGAAAGAGAGTGAAGTCTTCAAGTTTTATTGATGAACAATCTTCCCCATAGGAACTCACTTCCCACCAGCCAACTTTATACTATAAACCTTCCAGAAAGATATTGATCACCCAACTTTCCTCTTTAAAAATGGAAAAACTAACCAATTTAAATGCCCAAGGATTTCAAAAGTCATCTTAATGTAGCATTTAGAGTCAAGATTACAAAGCTACTAAAGTTTTTTACTCACAATGGTTTAAGGTACAAAAATTGGTAGCCATTTTTCTTCCCAATTGTTATATTCCTAATGCTACCTATCAACAACTTACATACTTCTTACATTTTCTAATTAATGAGAATACATGGGTCTCTTAAAAGAACAGGCTTTGACTTGGTCTGTGGACTAAAAATGCTGTTGCTAATTTCTCACCAAAGATCTCCGAAAGAAAAAGTTTGGCTTGAGTTGAAGTAAGACCCTACAAGAAAATGTGTGTGGATTTAGACATTGCTTCCCATGTTATATGATGCTATTCCTAAAAAACAATTTCTAGCCCCTCCGAGTTAACAGTTTTTGTAATATATTTTGTGGATGGAGACACCTTTCCTGATATTGTATTTAGTAAATTAATAACTCTACTACTATGTGAGGTGAGGACTACAAATTGCATGGATATGCCTGAGCTGGTTACTAACTTGTGAAACAAAAACACTGCAAATAGAGAGCTCAAGATGCAGTTGTTCTGTCTCAGTCAAGTTGTCTTAACCCTCTTGTAGCTATTGATTGGTTTTGACTTTCTGGATATCACTTTCTCTTGATTTTGCAGAATCTGGTCTTATTTCCTGTGATTTTAAGGATGTTTTTAATCCAAATCTTTATCTGTGTACATTTTAAAGCACAAAGCTATTTGTAAATAAAGGTTTTATCTTGTCCAAAGATGAATGTGGGTAAATCACACTTCTTTGAAACATGAAACAAAGAATAAGAAATGCATGTTGGAAAATGTTTCTTGAATGAACAGGTAAAGAAAACCTCGTAGGTGGAGAGGAACATGCCTTGGCAGTAAGGCATAGCTTCATAAGCCCAAAAGCTAATGTTGGCATCAGGTCTGGTTATAAAATAATGTTGGTCATACAGGCACAATATCTGATAATTTCTATTTGTACCATCTTAATGAAGGTAACCTGTTAATGGCTTTTCTGATGCATGATTTTTTCAGTTTTAGAAGCTAATTTTTAAAAAATTAACCTTCATATCACTTTGTTCTGCTTTGAAATGGCAATTTTTTCATGCAATTCAGTTCTTATAGTCTCTTGCCATTTTTAGTTATTAATTTTTATTCAAAGCTTGAATCAGTTTATCTTTGCAATATCCCTGCCCTTATGTGTTTGTTCCCCATGTCCCTTGCAGTGCAACATAAATTCAACCACAGTTTGTGATTTAGAAAGATATACTAAGTGTATGCAATGTAAGCCAGAATTCTTTGGTTATGCTTGTCTTTTGAAAATATTGACAATTAGTAGAAGAATATGTCTCTTTATCCAATGTATTCCTTAGAACCTATCTTCACACCTGAATGGGCCTGGTGCAAGATAAATATTGGTTTATGACCCTCTTTCTCTGCTGGGCTCCTTGGCAACAGGGAGTTAACACAGTATCCCATAGCTGTATAGATAAGGTTGAGTATGAGAGGAATGGAGTTTTCTTCAGGCTCAGGACATTATCCTTTCTGTGCCTACTGGACATTCACCTCTTGCCTAAGTAATTTCTGTTTTTGCACACATGTCATGATATAGCTCAGATAATTTTTATATTATTGCGCTGATGGCATTAAAGAAATATAAATAATCTGGAAAGAAGTTAGATTGCAATAATTTGGAGAGTAAATATGGCGTTTATTTTCATTAATTTTTCTGAGACAGGGTCTCACTATTCAGTGCAGTCCAGTCTTGAACTTGCTTATGTAGCCCAGGCTGGTCTCGAACTCACAGTGATCTATGTGCCTCAACCTCTTGAGTGCTGGGATTGCAGGCATGCGGTACCACATCTGGCACTATGGTGATTTTTATTTTTATTTTATGTTTTGGGTACTGGGAATTAAACTCAGGACCGTGCTTGCCAGGCAGGTACTGTGCCACTGAGCTATATTCTCCAACCTAATATGGTGCTTTTTAGTAGATGTATCCTAAACACAATTTCCTGATACCTTAAGAAGTTGACAGATAATCTTAAAATTTAGATCAGAGCAGTGCAGAACAATAGTACTTCTCTATCTCTAACGTATGGATCAATTTTAAAGTCATTTGTCCAAAGCTTTAGAAAAATCAATACTGATAGACAAATGTCTTTCAGCTTGAACAACTGAGACCTTTTATCTTTATAATTTCAACCTTAAGTTACATAAATGGTTATGTTGATGATTTAACTTTTAAAAATAGACTGTGATAGTCTACAATATTGTATTACATCACTTTAGAATGAATTACTATCATTTTCTAATAGTTATAAAGCTTTAGAAAAATTAAAAGCAAACATGGTAGGCATGGCAGGACATAGTATTATTCACGCCTATGTAAGGCAGTATAATGTGTTTCAGGAACGCCACTGTGTAAGAGCGTAAGTGAATGGAGATAATCATTTAAAAATATTCCAGTTAGTGAGCAAGACCATTAGGAGGTGATCACTAGTTTAGATTTTCCACTTGAAAGACAAGATTGGGCCTGAGGAGGCAGTGTGCTTGTTAGAAATATATTCAGCCTCTTGAAGACATTGGTGTAGGTGAAGACTTTATGAACAAAACCCAGATTGCACAGGAACTATAACAAAGAATCAATAACTGAGATCTTATCCTATTGAAAAGCTTTTGAAAAGCATGATAAACTACCAACAGAGTGAAGAGACAACCTGCAATGTGAGAGAAAATGGTTTGCCAGCTGTACCTCAGACAAAGGATTACTATTAAGAACATATAAAGAGTTCAAAAAAAAAATCACTTCTCCCAGATTTAAAGACTGAATCCAAAAATGGGCATCTGAGATGAATATACACATCTCAGAAGTTATACAAGTGGCAAATAAATATATGAAAAAAATGTTCAACATCGGCTCAGTCGAGAGATGCAAATTAAAACAACACTGAGATTCACCTCACCCAGAAAGAATGGTTATGATCAAGAAATCAAGCAACAACAAATAGTAGAGGGGTTAAGAGAAAAGAAACCCTTCTCCAGAGTTGGTAGGAGTGTAGAATGGTGCAACCACTGTGGAAATCAGTGTAGAGATTACTCAGAAAACTAGGTTTGGAGGTCCCATTTGACCCAGCTTATCCCCTTTTTGGGTATCTTCCCAAAAGAATTAAAAACATACTACAGTGATATTATATGTGTTTATATTTATCACCATGTTTATAGCAGCACCATTTGTCAGAGCTAGATCTTGGAAACCACCTAAATGTCCATCAAGACATTCAGGAATAGATAAAAAAATGGTATTTTTATACAGTGGAGTACTAAGCCAAAAGTTTATCTTTAGAAGTTTTATCTTTAGAAGGATAGTTTATCTTTAGAAGTTTATCTTTAGATAAACTTTATCTAAAGTTTATCAAAAACTTTATCAAAAGTTTATCTTTAGAAGGATAAACTAGAGATTTTTATAGATAAATGGATGCAACTTCGAGACCATACTCCTACGTGAAATAGATTTGTGTAAATATTGTATTGTTTCACTACTGTGAGAAGCTGAAAGAAACAATACTTGTATACATATAGATGTATACAAAATATAGTTAAGATGTACTACTGATTTCTCTGAGTTCATTGAAAAGAAAGTTTTGTGCTGGTATTGTTCGGACAATTGAATGCAGATGTGTTGTGCTCAGGGTCAATGATTTGGGGATGACAATGCTCAGTGTCTTACGATAGTTCCCCCGATTGGTGTGTTTTGAAATTTTTCTTCTCTTTGAAATAAAATGAATTAAAAAAATACATGCAGCATTCTTTTCTTCTCTATAGGGTGGGTAGTGTGGGGGAACAGGAGAGGGAGAGAAACGGAGAGCCACATCCTCTTCCCTTCCTGGCCTGGATTCTCCAATCTGTGGGGCTCTTTCATCTTTCTCACAAGGTCAACAATTAGGGTAAATAAGGCAAAATTTAACAGGCACCAAGAAATTCAGCAATCAAGATACAAAATGCATCAATGCACTTTTTTGGGAAATATTTAGTTAAAAAGTCCAGAATGAACAAAACAGAATTTTAAAGACAATCTGGCGAGACAAAAGAGTGGGGAGGGGAAGAGAAAGTTAAAATGATTACGATGTAAATGTATATATACCAATTTCCCAAGAAGAATGTAATTATTGTGTATCATAAACATGTACTGATTAAAAATTCTTTAAGAAGACACAAACAAGAACTTCCAGAATTGCTTTAGAAAGTGGCAAGAATGATGGGCTAAATATGTTAACAGGCAATGGGGAGTATTTTGAGGGAGATGAATGACAATGTGTCTTTACTAAGTGAGCTCTTTTATAAAAGGGGCAAAAATGATGGGATAGGTGTTAAAAGTAAGGGAGAGAATCTCATAGGGCATCAATGGCAATGTTTTTACTGTAATATAGCATTTTTAATTAAAGACTAGTTAAGTTGAAGTTAATTACAATTACTGTATATAAGATTGTCATGAAGCCAAGAAAAATTGTCAGGCATGGCAAGTCTCAACTGAAATGAGAAAAGCAAAAGACAGATTTAGAAAATACTGATTAGTTCCACTAAGGGCAAGAAAGTAAAATTATACAGCAATTCCATTTTTGGTGTAAATAAATTTTAAATTTTTTGACACATTTAATTTTTTTCAATATTCAAACTACTTTTATGTCTTAGAAAAAAGTTAAAAGACGATAAAAAACATAGGGGTATAACGCTCTGTGTCCCCGGTTCCACTGTGGCTTGGTTCTGTATTTGATTAAATTTTAAATATTTTTTACTTCACGGATCGCTTCCATTAATTTAGAATTTCAGAAATATTACGTTAAAATTATTTTATCTTGACTGCCATTCTTGGTACCCCCTTAAATTTCGCGACATTACCTCTTACTCTCATTTGTTTTTCGAATTTACTCAATCTGTATAATACGAATCTTTAATTTTTACAACACTACCGTTACTTGGGTTTAAATCTGAGAGAGCTGAGTGTGGTAGTGCATGCCTGTAATCCCAGGCAGAATCGACATTACCTCTCTCATTTGTTTTTCTGCTTTTCTTAAGGCTTTAGGAGGAGGGGGCCGCATTTTGTTCCTCCAGAGGATGGAGCTAAACAGTTCTGTAGTTGTCGCTGGCCTCGTCCTCCCTTGCCCCGGCGGAGAACCTCATAAATAATTTCATCTCAAGGGAATTTGATATCTGCGGAACTCACCACTTGATAGCACTGATCTATCCACTTCCGCCTGGACAGACGCTCCCGGAACTCGTATATTAAGAGGACGTGTTTCCCGCTGTGTGCGCCGGCAGCATTTCTACAACGCACACCACGGACAGTTTCCTGTTTCCTGTCGTGAGCCTGGAGTCTGTGCACCGGAAGCGATCTCCCTGCCGAAGGTGAGGCGGCCTGACGCGTCAGGCGAAGGAGGGAAGAAAGAATCGCGCGAGTGGTGTGTCGGGTCAGGTTGCCGATCTGCGTAGGTCGGGAGATGGTGCCTCAAGAGCGTCAGACCTTTCTCTTCTCCTTCGTGCGGAGGACTTTGGAGTTTCCTCCGGCTCTCCTGCATTATCGGGTGGGAGGAAGGGCGCCTGCCCATCCCCTCGGCGAGGCGTGGGTAGCCGGCGACTCTGCGCTGCACGTGGAGAATAAAGCCGCATCCCCCTCCCCCCGTAGTAACACATTGCAGATTTAAGCCCCTAGACGCTAATATTTATTGAGCCCTTGTATGTTTTAGGAACTGTTTTAAACCGAGTTGCACTGGAACCGAATCAAATTCAGTGGTTAGGTTCAATTGTTGACCTTAATGGTAAAATTTAATTCGGTTTGTGTAGCAGTGAATAAATCTGACAGAGTATCTCCCTTGGGAGAAGCTTGCATTTCAATAATATATGGCAACTAATGGAAAGTGAGATTAACTCAGGATCGGATTCTTTTTTGGGGAGGTAGGAAGCATCAGAAAGACAGATCTGAGGTGTTTTGGGAGAGGGCATCCAATTTAGATGGACAAAGGTGTTGATGTGTTGTCAAAATTTGTTGCTCTGTAAAAACTGCATTTATGAATTTAGGGCTAATGAGTTTGTACTCTTGCTATAAGATGTGTTTAACTTACCTTTCCTTTTTTTCTTCAGGAAGAGTCCAAAGATTAGATTGTAAAAAAAGAAAATAGGAGCCATGCTTTTTCGAAGACCTGTGTTACAGGTAGTTACTTTGCTGTAAGAACTGAGCGGTGGTATCAGCCATAGGCATCAGATTTCTTTAGCCTTTGACTGCAGGAAACAACAGATTTCCAGCCTACTCATCACTTTATGGGTACTCCTTTGATAGAGAGGGTTGGAAGTAGATTTTGACATGTTAAAAATGTTTGCTGAACAAATTTTCGAATTTACTCATCTGTATAAAGGAAGCTTTAATTTTTACAACACTACCGTTACTTGGGTTTAAATCTGAGAGCTGAGTGTGGTAGTGCATGCCTGTAATCCCAAGGAAGGCTGAGGCAGGAGGATCAGTGTGAATTCAAGGCCAGCCTGGCTACCTAGTGAACTCAAGACCAGCGAGCACTGCATAATGAGCCTGTTTCACCAAAAACAAAACCCCAAAAAACCAGATTCGGCCTTTTTTTTAAGATACATGATTCATTTTTTTAACTTTTTACCTCATTTGTTACTAAATGCACTCCTCTCCTATCTTGCCACACTGAGGAAGGCAGCTCAGGTCTCATCGGGACAAGTTAAATGCCCCAAATTGATTCTGGCTTCTCATTATCCCCCCAGTCTGGCCAGCCTTGCCAGCTAAGGTTAGCATTTTTTCTTACTACATTTGGGTACCAAGTCCTGTAGATCTCCTTTATAGCATCTTTTTATGACTCCCTATCCTGTTAAGACTAATGAAGACTTAATTCCTCTATGAAACCCATTGTCATTGCAATGCACTTGTCAAATTTATATTCTTAAAAATCCCCTCCTTAACCAATGTTTACTTTTAAATCTGCTTTTTAAAATGTGTTGAAATATGAAATGTGGGAAAGTTACTACTATCCTAATAATCTAAAACCAAATATAAAAATCTAAGTTTAGTTCTAAAAGTCATCCAACTTAATCCTTTTTGTCTTTCTAGTATGTTTTGATTTTTGTGTGTTCCTAAAATGAGACATACTGTAATTTTTTTTTTTTTTTTTTTTTTTTTTCTTTTTGAGACAGGGTCTTGCTATACAGTTCAGGCTGGCCTTGAGCTCACTTTGTAACCCAGGCTAGTCTCGAATTTACAAACAATCCTCCTGTCTCAGCCTGCCTAGTGCTGGGATTACAGATATGTGCCACCATGCCCAGTTTGACTTTGTAATTCTTTCAGAACTAATTACTGTTGGCTCATCTGACCACTTAAATTAGTGTATTTCTATACACATAGCATAGACACTAGTTAGCGGTTTCATTCTGTAAGTTTCATTTTTATTTCTGATACATCCTCTGTCTTAAGGCTTTAAGATTGGATTATAGAAATGTGTGTGTTCATTTGATGGATTTTCTTTTCTTTTTCTTTCTTTTTTTTGGAAATAAGACCTTGCTATGTTCTCCAACTGGCCTTAAACTCACTCTGTAGCCTGGGCTGATCCTCCTCTCTTAGCCTCTTGAATGCTAGGGTTACAGGCTTCTGCCAGTATGCCTGGAAATTTTGATGGATTTTCTGCTTTTCATATTAACAGTACTGCCTTCTGAGAACTGTTTTTCTGATAGAATGTCTGGCTCTCTGAGTTTTGAGTCCTATGATTATTGTACTCTTTCCTCTGGGGTAGCCTTTGCCCAGAATATATTTTTAGGAAGCAGCAAAGGGTAGTGGAGAAAGCAATAGCCACAATGTCAAACAGTGCTGGCTTCCGATCTTGACTTTACTGCTTATTTTTTTCCAATATCTTGGCAAGTTATTTATTTTGTCTCCTTCAGTTTATTCTGCTCTAATTGTACATTATTTATACATTTGATTTTAGGATAAATGATACTAGGTAAAACAGCTGTTAGTCAGTAATGATAGCTGGTATACACATTAAATGTTGTTCTTATATGAGACTGCTTGTTATTGTGGTTGTGTGCCTTGGATGCCATTTATTTGCCCTTAACCAAATTCATATTATTATTTCTCGGGGCTGGGGATTTAGCTCAGTGGCATAAGCGCCTGTCTTGCAAGCACATGGTTGAGTTCTATTCCCGGTACTGATTAAAAAAAAAGCAAACATAATATTATTTCTCTTTGATCCACTGAAAGCAAGAATTTCCCATTAGATGTTTATAGAACTTTGGGCCAAAAAGCCCTTTATTTATGCAGTAGGCCTGTCAAGCAGATGTTGCTTATCATTTTGGCTCATTTTTAACTGAAGCATTTTAGGCTAATCACAGTTGAAATACCACCTGTTCTTTCAGAGTACTGGTTTTGTTTTTAATGCTTGACAGCAATTCTTAGGTTGGATTTACAGTCAGATGTGCTCTGAGTTGTGGAAGTCATGCCATTTTTATTTTACCTTTTACATGCAAACACAGAAGTGCCATAGTCAGAAATGCTACTACAAAGAAACAGAAGACTGTAAATTAACTCTTGTGCATGCTCTGCACTACTTTCTTTGTACTCTTAGGTTTTGTAGTCAGCTGCTCTGAAAGTGTTTGCCTGGTTCTTCCATTATGGGTTGAGAGAACATTGGAAGATCTTCTGTGTTCTCTTGGATTTCCTGGGAACTGCTGACTGAGTGGTGAATGATATAAGCATGTCTTCTGTTTGCATTTGCCTTTCCTAAAAAATTAAACCCTTGTCACTTATTTGTTCTCCTTTAGGTGATTCGTCAGTTTGTAAGATATGAATCTGAAGTAGTCAGCAGTTTGGTTCTTGAAAGATGTAAGTAGCTCATTTCTGAGTTTACAGTTCTAGGGGTTTTTTTGTTCTGTTTTGTTTTTTTGGTACTGGAGATTAAACTCACAGCCTCACATTTGCCAAGCAGGCACTTATGCTGCTGAGCTAAACCTCCAGCCCGAGTTTACAGTTTTATTCTGAGAGTATTGTAGAGAGGTATGCTGATTTAACCATAGTAATGATCATGTCTTTGACTCATGCTTGTTCCTTAGATCTTTTTTTTTTTTTTTTTTTTTTTTTTGGTCTTTTTTCGTTTTTATCCGTACCAGGGATCAAACTCACGACTGCCTGCTTGCAAGGCAGGCGCTTATGCCGCTGAGCTAAATCCCCAGCCCCTGTTCCTTAGATCTTGGCCATGCTCATCAAGCTGTGGTGATCCATTATAAATTGTTATTCTTCCTGCCAGCCAGATGCTACTTAATCTTTTCCTCATTGTTCTGCTGGAAGAATGTCCTTGAATCATACTTGGTTATCTGAGTCTTCCAAGATTATGCTGAAGAGATTGTGAAAGATACTCTTTCACAAAAACATTCCCTTTTGAAATAAGGAGTTTTAGACCTCCATTTCTTTTTAGTTCCACAGTCTTTTATACAAAGATATTTTAAAGAAAAATTTAAAAGCTAGATATGGTGGCACACACCTAACCCTAGCACTCAGGAGGCTAAGGCAAGAGGGTTGTTGGACGTTCAAGGCCATCCTGGGCTACATAATTCAAAGCAAGTCTGGACTGCATGGTAAGCTCTGTCTCAAAAAAAAAAAAAAAAAAAAAAAAAAATTAAAGTTTTTTTGTAGGACTGCTTTTTCTGGCTTTTCTTCCTTTTTTTTTTCCTTTTCTTTCTTTCTTTTTCTTTTTTTTTTTTTTTAAATATAGGATCTTCTCTATAGTTCAGACTTGCCTCAAACTATGGCAATCCTCCTGCCTCAGCCTAGGTGTTAGGATTACTGGTGTGTACCACCGTGCCCAACTTTTTTTCTTTCTTGCCAACAGTTCCTCCAACCTTTGTTTGTCCCTTTATTTGCTGAGCTTCCAGAACTTGGGTTTTGCTCAATGCAGGAAATTGGTATAGTATATGTTGCTATATATTCTCTGGACATTTTTCTCAGATGTATAGATTTCTTTAATAGTCATCTCTACTTGCTCTAACAAATTACCATACACTGTGTGGCTTAAACACTAGACATTTACTTACAGTTCTGGAGGCTGGAAGTCCAAGGTCAAGGTGCTGGTGTGGTTGGACTCTTACTGATGATCTGGCTTGCAGATGGTTGCTTTTTTACTCAGTCCTTCTTTACATGTCAGAAAGAAGGAGAACTCTGATCTCTTCCTTCTTTTATAAGAATGCTACTTCCCTGTTGTAGGACCTACTTTGTGACCTCAAACTAGTTACCCACTGAGGCCCACTTGCACATATTGTCCTATTGTGCTTAGGGCTTCAAGATAGAAATTTGGAGGGAAATAAACGTTCAGTCCGTAAGTGTCACTTTGTCCCCACATTACATTTCAGCACTGAATCGCGTGCAGTTGCTTGGGCGAGTGGGTCAGGACCCTGTCATGAGACAAGTGGAAGGAAAAAATCCGGTCACCATATTTTCTCTAGCAACAAATGAGATGTGGCGAACAGGGGATAATGAAACATACCAGATGGGTGAGTATGAAAGACTGGGGTTTAAATTTATTAGCAGTAAATGGACATTATTTTTGCCAGTTATCTGACTAGAGATAGGCTACTTTTAGACAAAGTCTGTCTTTTTTTTCTGTTCTGTTTTAGAAACTGTGACATGGGTTTTCTTAAAAATATATTTTTATTAGTGTATAGTATTTCTAAAAAATACTAGATTACAGTGTGCTGTTTTCTTGCATGCATATAATATTTGATCGTATCCATTCCCTCATCGCCCTCCCTTATACCCCTTCACCCCTCCCTTATACCCCTTCACCCCTTTTGAGTTCAGTTTTCTGAGCATATTGTCCTTTCATGTTTATTTTGTCTGGGGTGTTTGTTTGCTTGCCCCTCATAAGTACACATTTGTGGTACATAATGATTATATTCATGGTGGGGAGTTGATATATGTACACAACACATCTTAATTCTTTTTTTTAACATCCCATTCACCTCTTATCTAGGATATTTGTAACTGTGTTTTCTATTTTTGTGATTTAGGTGATGTCAGTCAAAAGACGACATGGCATCGAATATCAGTATTTCGGCCAGGTCTAAGAGATGTAGCGTATCAGTATGTGAAAAAGGGGTAAGTATAGGAAGGAAAGATCTTTTGGATTGAACAGTTTAAAGAGAGTGGCCTCATTACAAGGACTAACTTAACCCTTAGCTTTTATGTAAGTGGTACTTAAGAATTCTTTAGTAGTACGTTTGGAATGTCCATGTATGTATGTGTGTGACTAACTCAAAAGTGTATAAAGCCTTCTATTTACAGTTTAGGGTAAACAAGGTATATGCATAAATGAGACGAGAACAAAGGCAGTCTTTCAAATGCACTTACAGTACCTTCTCTTTGAGCAGCACCACATAGGCATTTAGGAGGTCCCCCAGAGGTGACATTTTGTCTCTTGGCATCAAACACCATTATTATGGTATTGTTCTCACAATTACTTTATTTGGGAATTTTCTGTAGAGTTCCCTATTGCAGTGTTTGGCTGGACTATTTACTAAATTCTCAGAAAGACGGAAGAATATATTTAACAGTTGTATTAACATATGTTTAATACTGTACTTGTGTTGTAAAATATTTCATGAGGGCATATCGATAGCTGCTTGTATTCCCAGTACTTGGGAGGCTGGGGCAGTAGGATCACTGAATTCAAGGCCAGCCTGTATTACGTAGTAAGAGCATATTTCAAAAACAGACAAAATCATGAAAAGTAATTTAAGCAGTAATTAAAATTTCTGTTAAAATATCTGCATACCTTTTCTTCATATGTATCTCTACTACCTTTAATTTACAAATGTGTGAATGTTTTTATGTATACATATGTAAACCCACATAGAATATTTAAAGGAAAACTTTAGTGTCTACTTTGACTTACTGAATGATAAGTCTGTCTTTGTGTCTTTGGTGCCCGATTCTTTCACCTGTGTGCCTTCTTGTCTCCATTGTATTTTTGTAGTAGTGGTGGACTCTGAAAACTAGAGCCAGTGGGGGTCATTTTTCTGCCCTTCATTATAGTTATGATCATCTCCTACTTCAACCTTTTATGTAGGCTAGAAATAGTCATAAATTAGGATGTACTAAGCTAAAAATTTTGATTTTGAATTGTAATAGTCTAAGCCTTGAGAATAAAGTCATGAATCTCACATAGAAGGAAATTGATAAATAAGTTAAAATCAGTATGTCTGTTAGGGAATCCAAAGTCAAAGGTTAAGTAAAGTGATACATTGAAAATCATTCCTAGAGATTTGAAAGATGTTACTATGTAAATTGCTCTTTTATTCTTCATAGTCTGAGCTTCCTTTTGTGCTTTTAAGCTTCTATAAGGAAACTAGTTGATAGGTGAAAACATTGTTCATTTTACCTGTGTGTATCCAAGCCTGTTTTTACATTTATTTCAGTCTGTTAATTCTAAACTTTGAAAAGCAGTAGCAAAAATGAAATTGTGTGTAATTAGGTATTTTATCCGTGGTGTGTATTCATTACCACCACTGAATTGACTCACTCATAATGCATTTTAAGATCTCCAGAATAAAACGTTTTATTTATATCAGGTCTCGAGTTTTCGTGGAAGGAAAAGTAGACTATGGTGAATACATGGATAAAAATAATGTAAGACGACAAGCAACAACAATCATAGCTGGTAAGAAGCTTGTAATAGCTATTCTTTTTTCCTTCTTTGAAAACTAGACTGTTATAAATAGCTAACTGGGGCTTTGAGTACCAGTGCTTGTGAAATGAATTTAAAAGAATTTTACAACTTTTTCTATTTGCTAAGTTTCTGCATTTATCTTTGTTGCAAAAATTCTGTCTCCATTCACAGTTTTAAGTTCACAGTAACTTTGGAGTAGAGTATAAAATTGAATTGTCCATACTAGTACTTATTGTTGAGAGTTAGAAGAATTTAATCTTAGGGTCTTTATAAAGACTATTGACTGCAGGGCATGGTGGTGCATGCTCCATAATCCCAGCACTTGGGAGGCTGAGGCAGGAGGGTGGCTGTGAGTTCAAGGGCAGCATGAAATATATAGTCAGACCAACTCTCAAAAAATAAAGACCATGGCATGAACAGGGAAAAATGTGTGCCAAGACAGCCACCCTACTGTGGCAGTAGAAATTTGTGGAGATTTATTCCTTTGCTGAAATTTCTATACGAATTTGAAAAAAATTTTATTCTTAAAAGTTGAAACAGAAAAGAGACACAGAAAAGAGGGATGTATAAAGTTTGAAGAAGATTAAGAAAATAGCAGAGTTTTCAAACTTCAGGAAAAGAATTTTGAAAGCAGTATAACCCTTTGACCTCTACATAGGCTTTGAGAAGAGTTTTTCAATGTGAAATTATTATGCTTTGTTTGGAGTAGTGAACTGTAAGTACTCTAGCAATTTGATAACCACCATCTTATTAAAAATACATAAATAAGTGCTTCAACATTTGAAATGTTTGTATTCCCTTTTTTGGAACTTGTTTTACTATTTTTATTTCTTCCTCAAAAGTGTATTTTAGGCCAGGTGTGGTGGCACATGCCTGTAATCCCAGCACTTAGGAGACTGAGGCAGGAGAATTGCTACAAGTTTGAGGTTAGACTGGTCTACAAAGTGAGTCCAAGGCCAGTCTAAGCTGCATAGTGAAACTCAAAGACAAGAAGCATTTTTTATTTTTGGTTATAGCAAAAATACAATCATTCTTTTATATCGCTAGAGGATTGGTTCCAGGATCTCCTACTGTATAGTATTTCCATATAAGCTACGCATATGTCCCCATATGCTTTAAGTCATCTCTAGATAATACCTAAAAGTAAAGTAATAGCATTATCAGTGTAAAGTCTGTGCAGTTGTTTATTGCATCATTTAGTGAATGATGGCAAGGTAAAGTCTACATGCACAGTGCAGACGGCAATTATTTTCAGATATTTTTGATACATCTTTGGTTGAATTTGTGGATATGTACCCTATTCGATATTGAGGACTGATTGTACATAAAAGAAATTTTAAAGTATTTTTTAAAAATTCTGGGGCTGGGGATTTAGCTCAGCGGCATAAGCGCCTGCCTTGCAAGCAGGCAGTCTTGAGTTCGATCCCCGGTACCGATAAAAAGGAAAAAGACCAAAAAAAAAAAAAAAAAATTCTGAGGCAGGCTTTAAATGATATATTTATGAGTTATCGTTACAGTTGCTTTTGTACCTAAGTGAGACCACTTTCAATATATTAACATAAAACTAAAATTTTATTGGAAATACATCTTTTAATGAGATAAATCGATGATGAACCTTTTAACGCTTTCAATGATATAAACAGCCTGCTATAGTACAGATGCCATAGGTTTGCCACCAGTTAGATGGTGCCTTATTTTTTGGATAAATTGCTAAAATTAGGCATTATTAAGCCTTAATTTTTGTTATTTTGTTTGTTTTTATTGATATGAAATCAAGAAACCTTATTTTTAGGAAAAAGTGAGTAGAAATGAATAGCTGGGCATGGGGGTGCCTGCCTAGAGTCCTAGCACTGATGCGGGAGGATCCCTGTGATTCTCAGTCTCAGGTACATAATGAGTTAAAGGCCAGCCTGGGCTATATAGCATAAACTTGTCTCCAAAAAAACCTGTCTTACAGTAATATCACTGTTTGTATATTACTGAGATTTGCTCAAATTATTATTGTTATTTTATTGTGGAAAATGTCAAACATACATAAAATGTAGAGGGGTTAGTAAAAAATGAGCCTCCATCATTCAGATTCATCGGTTAACAAATGATGGACCTGTGTTGTTGTTGTTCTTCTTTTTGAGACAGGCTGTTCCTATATAGTGCTGGGATTATTTGAAATAAATGTCAGATGTTGTTTGGTTTCAGTAGATGTCTCTGAGAGATGAGGCATCTTTTCGAAAATTTGAGTATAATGCTGTTATCACAGTATAATGCTGTATTAAGATATTATTGTTGCCTGGCAACTCAGTTGATCTAGCAAGGTCCTAAGTTCAGTTCCCAGTACCCAAAAAGAAAAAAAAGATACTAGATTTTTTTGATTATTTCACAAACACGTATATATTATGTCATAGGCATCTTAGGTCTCACAATTGACGTTTTCCTTTTATATTCATCTTACTGTTTGTTCCAGAGTTCATATCTTAAGCCAGTGTACATATTGATGTTATAGTTTTTGTAAACAATAATCATGTCTTCTAATGATTTCTTTGAAAGTATATTAATCTTAAAAACCAACATACATGTTTTCCTGCCCTCTTTATTTTTTTCCACTATTCACTGTAAAACAAATTTAGGATTGTTCAGATCATTGGATTGTTAGATCTAAACCAAATAAAAATATTTCAGTTTGCCTACCACTTGGTTGTTTTCTTTTTACCAGTTATCATTGGCATGGTCAGTTAACTCTCTTTAGTGATATCTGAATTGAAGAAAATAGAGTTGAATTTGCTATTTTACAGACAAAATTTTTTTCTCTGTAGTTTATTCCTGAATTTAATACTTATCACCAGTGGGTGGCACTATTGACTTTTTACATAATGATGTCAATTCTTACAATCTCAAGTGTTTTTGAAATGCCAATTATGAAGTGGCGATCAGAAATTCAGTCCTGTAATAATATCTTTGTGGATAATTTTATGCTTAAAAGCATTTAAAATTTGTGGAATTATATAGGAAATACTACTTTATCTCTTCCTTTGCTTGTCTTCAGCTAACATCCTCTAAAACAGCATTTGCAGAGTAGTATCTGATGTTTTTGAGTAAAAATTACTACTTTAATATTTGTTAGCAAAACTTTTTGCCAAAATGGGTACATAAAAGTCATTTTGTTTTAAAGTTTAAAAATAAAATTTCTTAAATTTATATAAAGCATAAGTTGTCAGGCATGGTGATACAGTCCTGTAATCCCAGCACTTTTTAGGGAGAGGCAGGAGAATCGCTTGGATTCAAGGCCAGTCTAAATTACATATCATGACCCTCTCTCAGAAACCAAAATAATAATAATAATAGTTTGCAGTTACTAACAAGGCCATGTCTAGACCTCCATCCTAGTTCCTATAACTAACGTGGAATGGTCTTCTATAGAAGTGCATGCGCCCTGATTTCATGGCATCTCTTGAGCATTGTGAGCATCCCAATTTGTGACCAGCTGTTTAGGAGGAAGTTATCTCTAGGAAGATTTTATCTTAAGTTTCTTCAGGAAAGACAAGAAATGCCTCATCTCTTCTAACAAGGTCTACATTGGTAGACAAACAGTGAGAGCCCATCTTTCAGCTCCATGTATGCCTATTGTATATGCTTCTCATGAATGTAGCAGAAATTATTTAATACTCTAAAAACTTGTAGCAGGACTAAATATGTGTTATTAGAAGGGAATTACTAAATGGCATGAAGTTCAGAAATTAATATTTATACTTCGATTTCTTTACAGACAACATTATCTTTTTGAGTGACCAAACAAAAGAAAAGGAATGAATGGATGATTCTTTGGCCACTGTTTGGTACAGTCTCATTTCTAAATCATGTGTAGTCTTTATAGTTTTAAGGACAAGAATTAAAATACTTTATAAAGTGATAAATGTTTTCTGTCATTCCCGTTTCTCTTTATGTGGCATATGCTTTAATAGGTCCTATCAATTATGGCATTTACTAGTTGTTTATTCTTTTTGGAGTGATTTCTTTGTATAGGTATACAAAATAATGAATTTTCAGGTTTGTCCATTATAACAAAGAGGAATGTCCTGTAGAAGGCCCTGTGTTTTTTAGTGTACACTTACTTCAGTGTTGATTCAGCCATTCACTATTTATTGACCATTTCTATATGTCGGGTATTTATCCTATAGTTGTAAATATTGATTTTCTTATATTTGCTCTGTAGATTTGAAGGTAAGGAGTGATTTCTTTGTGTACCTGGTCCTTAACCAGGTTATGGTACAGGAGAAACATTCAATAATGTTGATAGATGAATGATCCCTATAGGATTTTTTTTTTTTAAATGTACTGTGAATCGAACTCAGGACCTCATGCTTGTGAGGCAGGCATTGTGGTGCTGAGCTATATCCCGGCACCCCAGGAGAATGTTGAGCTTTAGTCCAAATTGAAGCAGGCTGGTGAGTGATGATTAGTGTTTAACCTAAACTGCTTCGGGACTAATCTATGTTCACATCTTCAGTTTTTAGACAGGTTCCCTATAGTATTTATGAGACATAGTTTATAGCAGTGAAGATCTGAGATGTAATGAAATGAAAGTTTGTCTATCGATGCTCTGTTTCCATTATTATGTGTCTTTCCAAGCACCTCTTCACTGTCTTTTCAGCTCTCTTTCAGAACTCTCAGTGGTAGGAAGACCCACCCTCTGCTTTTTTTTTTTTTTTTTTTTCCAGTGCTGAGGATAGATTCAGGGTCTTAGGCATACTAGGCAGACACTTCATCACTGGGCTATACCCCAAAGGTTCTCAACACCTTTGAAATTACTTCCTAGAACCTCAGGTATTGCATTTTCATTTTATTTTCCCCTAGAGTAGTAGTAATGACTAATGAAGATTACATAAAATAAGCTTAGTTTTCAGTGCATTTTATTTGTTAAGTTTGTATTGGTCTTTCTCAGGTCTGCCTACAGTTTTTCAGAGGTCAGCTGGTATTGATTGAGTGGTTTGATTCAGATGTCAAAAATCTCTCATTGTGTCCCACTCTACACAGCTTACATCCTGTGGATGTGTTCCCAGGCTATGTGTTTTATCTTCTTTGTCTTAGAATGTGGTGCTAACTTAATTTAGATCATGTTGGACTTATTTCCTGTACACTTAAACATATTTTCCATGCTTAAAGTGCAGTTTGGTTGAGGAAAGATGGTATTCCTTAGCTTTATACTTTCCTTACCAAGAACGTAGAAATTATCCTTGTTTTTCTGCAGCAAGCATAGTAACTACATTTTAGATTCTCACATTGAATTTATTTCATGAGGTAGTTTCATTTATCAATCAAAATTGTAAATAAATAAAACTTGTCTTTTGAGCAGCCCATTTGTTTTTCCTCAGCAAAACAGCTTTTCTATTCTTAAATTTTGTGAGAAATTATACAGATTAGCATTCCTCTCTGAGCAGGATAATGAATCAGTGTATGCTCCGGGAAAATCCAAGAGCTTAATTACCTGCCTAAAGAAGGGTCTTGAGTCCTGTGTGCAGGAGCAGAATAGTGTCCTGCAAGATCATTGCTGTGAGCTGAGTTAGGACTCTTCTCCAAACTGCCAACTGAGAATGGCCTCTCATCTTGCCTCTGACTGAGTAGGAGGCTGAGGGAGTAGCATTTCCTGACTCAGGTTCTGTTGTCTACTTGTGTACTGATTCTGGTAGACCCAGTGACTCCAAACCACTCAGATTTGCTGGAGCAAAATCTCTGCTCTCCCTACCCTGGTAGCCCTATTGCTTTCTGCTACTCCCAGAATATTCCAGGCACATATTTGTGCAATATGATAGTAATTGACTGACTTAATTTTACTTCTAGAGTAAATTTTGGGTCTTGCCTTTCCCTTGATGTGATGGTGTGAGAGATCAGCAAACAGCTGCTCTGTGACTTTGATTTGGGGATGATATGTTTAAGGAAAAGATGAGTACTAACACAAAAGTGGGAGAAAAAGTATGAAGTGACATGTATGGTGTTACCCCATTTTTGAAAAAGAAGTTATAATTAATTTAAACATTCTTTAAATAAGTCTGGAAGCAGAAACACAAAATGTGATTATCACTGGATAGAGTATTGTGTATTTTTTTTATACCTTTATATGTTCTCTTTTGTTTGTTTATAGCACGAATGTGTATTAATTTTATAATTTAAATACCTTAATTTTGGGGAAAAGTCTTTTCCATTATTTTGAAACCAGGAAGACTCAAGTTACCTGTGGTCAGTACTGATTCATGTACTAGAACAAGAACATTTTTCATGTTTTTTCTATCCATGTGGATTGTAGCATTCACACTTACAGTATCTCTACATTTTAATAAAGTCTACACAACCAAGGACTGACAGACTCACCTGTGTGATATCTGTTATTCACTGTTATTACAATCCTCAGCTTCTCAGAAATCACTGAGTAATTAATTCAGAGACATTCCAAAACACTACACACATTTTTCTGGGCTAATTTGGGAATAGATGTATTTGTTTTGAGGGACTTACTGCTTACAGGGTTATAGTCTAAGCATTATAGCTCCTTTAGGGAAAACTGATGGAAATTTCCCTTTGTATACAAAAGAGATCATCCAGTTCTTGAAGACTGTTACCTCCTATTCAGATTGCACTTTTGTCCCTATCTTGCTGAACTTAGCACAATAACAGGATTTTACAAGATGTGTGTCATTCACTTGCATCTGACATGAAACTGAGGGCAGAAACTGAGGAACACTGACATGAAAATGAGGGCAGAATCATTTTACTTATTTTCTTTTAGGATTTGTATGTATTATATACGATGAAATTTGGTGAAAGTAGCAGCAAGAAAATCATAGGAAATGATGGATGTAGTGGCACACGCTTATAATTCCAGCGCTCAGGAGGCTGAGGCAGGAGGATCAACAAGAGTTCCAGGCCAACCTGGAAGTGAGCCCAAGGATAGCCTGAACTCCATAGCAAAAAAGAAAAACAAAACAAAAGAACAGGAAAATGAACAGTAATCCTCAACGTTAATGAGCAAGTGTTAACAATACTAATGGCTCACATCTCTTACATGCTTACTTTGTGTCAAGTGCTAAGCTAAATACTTTTTTTAAAAAAATCATTGTCTTACTGAACTAATATCCTAGGAAGAAAATGCTGATATCCTTGCTTTAAATGTGAGATTCACAAATTAAGAGAGATTTTTTAAGTAACTTCTCAAAATTAATAGAACTTTAAAGATGTCTATCTGGAGCTTGAGGCTCAGTGTATGAGACATTAATTTGCCTTCCTGCTTACTGCATTCATAGCATACCCCACGGGATTAGTATTCCCATCCTCCTATTACTGACCTAAAGAGACAGTTGAATTGAATAAGTAATAGGTTTTGGTTGGGCAGAGAATTAGGAGTAAGGAAAAATACCTCTCTATATATTATTATTTCTGATTCTTAGTTTGATGATCTTAAAGGAAATTAAGTCACAGATTTAATTTCTCTATCAAGTTATCAACATATCCTCTGTTTTCCTTGTGTCTTTTACTGGTTAGAGTAACTTTAGAATATGTGCTTGTTTTATTGTTTACTCACTGAGAGTTGAAATTGTCAAGAACATTGTTCAGGGATTTTTCAGTCTCACTTTTGAGAGATTGAGAAACTTGACAGGCACTTACACAACATTGAAACTCTTTCTCATTTCTGTGATTTGTTTTCGTGCCAGCTCCATAGTCCCACTTATTAGGGTAGTTTGTAGCTTTTCCCGTTGTTTGTGTCACGCAGCTGTGATAATGAAGTACCATTGCATCTTGGTCTTCTTACTCCTCATCCACTTGCTCTCTGCTCTGTTTTGGATCTCCGAGCTCTTTTTTTTTTTTGCAATATATGTATTCATCTTAATGCTTATTTACTTTTTCTGCCCTATCTATTGTTCAAAAAACAGGTAGTCTGTGATAATAATAGTTCAGAGTTAAGGCCATCCAGTCAAATAGCTTGAATTTGAATCTGTGCTTTTCCACTCATTGACTGAGTGATGCCTCTTGAGTTGCATCATTTTCTCTGCCTTAGAAGAGGCCCCAAAGATGTCAAAGCTTCATAAAGTATTTTTAAAAAGCATTAATATACTACCCAGTAATTATTTTTAGAGCCAGTATTTTCTTGGAGGTGACATTGTACACAGCCAGATACTACATTCTGCCCTTTGCAGTTAGGGATTGCCAAGAAGCTGCATGTGGAGGTCCTTTGCAGGAGCTCCGGGAGGATTCTTACATGAACTAACTCTTGTTTGGAGACTCGTGCTTTCTGTTTCTTTAGACCCTCACCCCCTTTTCTTGTCTGAAATGTGGACATGATGCCTGAATCTCCAGCAGACGTCCTCGGCATGAAGCAGTCTTCAAATGGAAGATGGAAGAAGCTGGGATCTGTGATCACCTGGGACCCCCAGACTAGTCTGGACAGTGTCTCTGGACTTTTTTGGAAGACATAAATAAACTTCTGTTTTGTTCAATCCACTTATTTGTGTGTGGTTAAGCCTAAATTTTACAATTCACACATTCTTACCTTTACCTCCATACACGTGATCAAATCTTTGTTCTTGTCTTTTTTGTTTTATAACCTTCCACTGCAAACAAAAGTAAAATCTTCCCTCATATCCCATAGTCTTTTAGGATTTTAGTCTGTCACATTACAAATCTGAGGAGAGACCTGGGGGCATAAAAAGCACAAGAGAGCCTTAATAATTAGCCTTAAAAGAGGAAGTATAAACTTTCCATTGAATACTGTTTAATTTTTCTTGTAATCCTCAGTGAAGACCTTTAACCCCCCTCCCCTATTAAATAAAGGAGCACTTAGGAACAGAAGTATTATCTTTATACCCCTTGGCAGTTAGCCGACTAGAGCATTTGGGTGAAGAGGCTTCCCACTGGTAATAAGTGATATCTTAAGTACAAAACAGTTGTTATTGTGTCATTAGGTGTATTAGTGTGCTCGGGTAGTCATAACAGAATAGTGTACCTGGTGGAGCAGGTGGCTTAAACAGACATTTGCTTTCATGGGAGACCAGAAGCCAGGGTGGCAGCATCATGTCAGTTCCTTGTGAAGCCTCTTGCTGGCTTGTAAGAGCCATTGTATTCATGTGTGCTCATGTGACCTTTTTTTTTCGGACTATAAGGAGTAGGTACCTATTCTTTAGACCTCAGTTCAGTTATTTACAGGTTTTTCCTTCAAATGTAATAGATGGAACTTCAACAAGAAATTGTGAGTTGAGGATAAATGTACTTTATAACATTGGGCTTGTGGGAAGACAGGAAAAATGACAGTGTTCAAATGAAAAAGGAACTGAAATTAGAGCAACAAGGCAACACAAAAATAGGAGTTGTCTAGTGACTGACAACTGGGCATTGTAGTTTGGAAATAACAGGTTATAATGCCTCAAACAGTTTTTCAAAATTTCCTTTAAAATAGGCTGTCCTTGGTGTTTCTCTTTAATAACCTATTTGTATTGAGGCTCTAGTGAGTACTATTGAAAAAGAAAAAAATATTGGCAAAAATGTGATTCACGTACTCTGATTACCTTGGAAATAAATTAGAGAAGTTGAAAATAAAATCAATATTATATTGTAAACAACAGCAAGAAGTGTAATTGTAAAAGTGCAGTATGAGAGCATCAGATAGGCATCTCCAGTGCACATTCTCTGTGGAGAACATCTTAAAACTTTATTGAAGCATATGAAGAAAACACATTTGTATAACATCTTTGTTGGAAATATCTGTGTTACAAAGTTGTCAGCTATCATCAAATTAATGTTGCAGATCAAAAGAATTTTAAGTTAGTTTTCATAATCTGGGGGACTTAACAAATTGACTCTAAAGATATATTGATAGATGAAGTTCCAGGAGCAAACAGTGAGCTCTATAAAATGAAAACTTAGTCTGCCACTTGGTAAGCTTTTTTTCTCTTTTTATATAAAGCTATATAATAAGGATACTATTAATGCAGAGATAGAATAGTGGTATAGAATAATCCATAAGCAACTATGCCTATATGGAAATAGTGACTGATAAGAGTGGCATTAGAAATTACTGGGTAAAATATAAATTAGTAAAAGATAACTAGGAAAATTTGTCATCCTTACAGAATAAAATGAAATAGGATCTGTCTCACACCTTATGCAAAAATAAATTCTTGGCACTTCAAAGACTTATTTGCAAAAGGCAAAACTTAAATGTGAGAATGTAAAGGACAACACCTGTGGGGTTGAAGGTATGAACTTTTTAACTGCAAAAAATTTAACTGAAAAGCAACATTTGTTTATCAAAAGTCACCATAAAGCAAAAGTCATAAATTAAGGTATTTGCAATAACATAACAAATATAGCTATCTAGACTATGTAAAGGCCTAAAAAATAAAAAGAAAAAGCTGGGTAGAAAAAAGTTCAGAAACAGGCATTCACAGAGAAGGACATGTAAGTAACATTAATATATGAAAAAGAGATTGACCTCATCAATAAGGAAATGCAAACCAAAAACATTTCATTGTAAGCCCTCTGGTTTGGCAAATTTCAGCGTATTTAATAAAATGCAAAGTAATGGAAATACCCTGGAGAGAGTAGTATAAATTCCATCCCTACTTGGCACTAACTTGTAATGCTGAACATTATTCTGTTCAGAAAGTTATTCTGCCTGTAAGGTATACCCTATAGAAAGTCTTTGATGATACAAATCAGAAAATGTCTTAGGGTATTTGTTGCAACAGGGTACATGTTAATATGAAAGGAAACAATCCCAAAATTAAACAATGGGTAAATAAATGTTCACACTGTAGTAGTATGGAACTCTTTAAAGGAAGAACATATTAACATAAGTATCAAGTGAAATGATCATATTGCAGAAGATCTTCGTTATTTTTATAAAGATTAAAACATCAAGTAGAGGTAAATATATATACAGCTAGGCATGATATATCTTTTAAAGTGAGAAAATGATAAACCATTCATGATGAATTACCTGGGAAGTAGGAAAAAGAAATAAGCACACAGGTAAATGCTATAATGAGTAATGTTTTCTTAATTTAGATAGTAGAATTGTAGGTATTTGTTTGCTTTATATCTTAGGTATATGTTTGCATATATTTTTATGTGTATTTGTCGACTGAAAAATAATACCAACGTAATTGAGAATAAAGAAAATTACACTAAGGTGGGGCCAGTTAAGATTGCAATCTGGAAAAACATTCCAATAATCTTGGAAACGTGCTCAGTGGTTTTACAAAATGGCAGGAGTGTAGCTTTAAATCATAAGGTGGTTGAAAATTATATCACTTTTTAGTCTAAAATTATGGCTGGGAAGTATTAAACTGGTTTACAAGAAAGGGAGAGGGTGTGGTCTCAATCTTGGGGGAGTTAGGGTGAAGGGGTCCCTTGTACAGATTGTTACAGTGTTTCAGCAAGCTGCATTTGCCACAATCCAGAAGTCAGCTTGCCTAGGGGTAGAGGTGAGGCTGTGTGTAGCTCAGTTCCGTTCTCTTGTGCACCTATCTCAGGCTGGGTTTTACTATGCCTCCCAAATTACTTTAGCTCACTCATACCGGTATTACTCTTGATTTTCTTCCTTGCCATGTTAAATATTACTTTAAGTACAAGTTTTCATAAAATAATACTGTACCTATAAGGTAGTGTGTAGTACCATGTAGCTAACATTTGAAGAAAACTGCTGTGTTTTGTATTTTTATAGGTCTTAATCACTGTTATGATTCTATGAAATAAGTGCTATTATCATGTTCATTTTTCAGAGGAACAGATTGAAGTTTAGTGAGATTAATTTGCATAAATTCACATAACTGATGAGCAGTGGCAATCATATTCAAACCCAACTCTTGATTGTAGAATCCAGCCTCTTAAACCATTCTGATTGACCATAGAGTCTGTTTATTTGCACACAGAGGATCAGAAATGTCAAGAAATTTGCTAGTGTCACATAGCTAAAATCATTGATAGTACAAAGATGTATGTACTTGTGGTTATTATCTTTTAGGGATTTCCAATTTATCGTGAGGGTGTTATTGAGTAAATGAATAATGTTAGAGGCAAAATATCTGGCCCTCTTTTTATTCTGTTGCTGATCTAAGTTTCCTGTTACTGTAAGAAAGTCTATTCCTTAACATAAACCATGTGATATTGTATAATTTTATCTTGAATCTTGATACATGACAGGATGATACCCATAAGTTTTGTTTTTAGTACACTTTGTAACCTAAGGAGTTTATGTTTTGTTGTAGTGGCAATGGGAAGCCACTGAAGTATTTTAAGTAGTTGAATGAAATGATTAGACTTACAGTTTAAGAATGTCACTCTTGTGCCTAAATGGAGGGTATATTGTTAGAAAAAAGACTAGAAGTGAAGAAAAAAAATAAGTGGTCATCAAGTAGTATAGATGAGAAAAAAAGTGACAATTTAGAAGGGATACAACTGAAATGTGACATTCAAGATATATTTTGTAGTTAAAATGTGTAAGTCATGGATGAGTGGATATGAGGTAAGAGATGAAGTTTATTCTTAAACTGACTTTAGGAACTGAATAATGTTTCCATTTGCCAAAATGGAGATTAAGGGAAAGAGATAGATGATGTATTTTTTTTTAAGTGGAAGTAATTTGACAGGCTTTTTTGTTTTTGAACGGGGGTATTTGAGGCTTCAAAATAAAAAAGGAAAAATAATAAAGTTAAGAAAGTAAGATAAAAGTAATAAGGTGAGGAAAGTATGGGCACACATGAAATTGCGTATGACATATATTTTGATGTGCAGTGTATTCTAGTCATTCCCCTCTTTGAATAATATATAAACAGAAGAATGTTATTACTGTATTTGTTCTTATAAGGATATGTAAAGGTATTGTAAAATTTAGCAAATCTGAATCCATAGAATTGAGGTCATGAGAAAAATGAATAGAGACAAAGGGGTTTGTGGGACAAGTCCTGTTACCGGAGTACATTATTACCAACTCCCAAAGACATCTGGAAACTGACCTTGTTCTAATTTTGCAGCTCAGATTTTAGGAAGCATTGGGGCCAGGTTATTAAATTGACTTAAGAGAGTTGAGGGTGATGAGTGAAGACTGTTTATTCCCGCATACTTTGCAGTTCTCTGTAATCAAATTGTATACAAACAGTGTTGAGACTGCTGGGGCTCACTTGGCTCAGATGAGCACTTACTGACAGCTGCCTAGATGGGACTGTGCCTGATTCTTTCAGTTTATGATCTACTGTGTGAAGTCCTTTTGAAGAGACTTAGAAGTACATCCTTCTGTGATTGGTGATGTTATTGAACTCCCTCCTTTATATCTTGGTGGTCCTGATTTTCTTCATCCTTCAGATAGCATTTTCGAACAGTATTCATCATAACTTATTCATGGTCATAAAACCAATTCTAGGAGATACAAGCAGCAATAAAAGAAAAAGGTTATCCTAGTGTCTAATTGTCACTCAACTACAAAGGGTAAAGGGCTTTACTGAGAAAGGATAATGTATCACGTATTGTTAGTTGTCACAATTTGTGAGGTACTTTTTTAGATGAATAAGCCTTTTTTGATGGATAAATCTACATAGTCTTTATCAGCCTGAGCTACTACTGGCTTATCAATACAGTCATAATATACCTGAAAATTTTTTGAATAGCTTATATGATTTATTTCATTTATCATTTTTGTTCAGATATTCAAATAGTTAAGACTTTATGATGTTTTGGCTCAACAATAAAGAACTTTGAGTCCCTAGATATCAGACTGCAAGAGTCAGGTCTTGTAATTCTAATCCAAGACCATGTTACTGATCTTTGTTCAATGGACTTAACCCAGGATGATGGGCAGGGCCTTACGGTGGAATTCTCCTTTTTTGGGTATGTCTCTGAGTCCTCCCCCTTGAGGAATAGGACTTCTTACTCTTTAGAGTGATCCTGTACCTCTTTTTGGTGTCACTCATCTTTCTGTTCTGGGTGGCTTCTAGTCCTGCTTCCATTGAAAATGAGTCTACAACCTCCATATTCTTTGTGATCTATATATCTTCCTTGTCCATGTGACACCAGACACTACTCTATTTGCATTTTAGCAAAGAGCTGCTGAGTTTAGGATTATAGATAGTGACAATCCTTGCATCTGAGAAGAGGACAGACTGACCTGAAAGAGCTGGAGAAGATTCACTAAACTGTGCTGTATGGCAGACTAAACTGGGCAGTGATGAGTCAGGTACAGTGAAGCAACAGGTAGAGGGGAGAGATTCTCTGAAAAAATTCTAATCAGCAAGGAGTTTACACACTCAACCAAAAGAATAAAGATCAGGACTGGCTAATTGTTGACATGTTGGAATTAACTGAGTGGTTGTTCCTGGTCCTGATGATCACTCAGTTCATCTTTGGAAATCTGGGAAATGGTTTCCTTGCATTGGTCAGTGGCAGCAGCTGGTTCAAGAGCAAGAGAATCTCTTTGTCTGACTTCATTATCACCAACCTGGCCCTCTCCAGGATCATTTTGCTGTGGATTATCTTCATTGATGGTGTTTTACTAGTTTTATTCTCCAATGTGCGTGATTCAGGGGTACTAATACAACTTACTGATATTTTCTGGACATTTGGAAACCACCTGAGCATTTCACTTATCACCTGTCTTGGTGTCCTCTATTGCTTGAAAATTGCCAGCTTTTCCCACCCCTTATTTCTCTGGCTCAAGTGGAGAGTTTCCAGGGTGGTTGTATGGATGCTGCTAGGTACACTGCTTTTATCCTTTGCCTGTACCATATCTCTGATCAATGAATTTAAGTTATATTTTGCCTTCAGTGGAATTGACAGCACAGAAAACATGACTGAATATTTCAGGAAGAAGAGACATGAATATGATCTGATGCATGTTCTTGGGACTCTGTGGAATCTCCCTCCCATGACTGTGTCCCTGATAACCTACTTTCTGCTCCTCTTGTCTCTAAGGAGGCACACTCGACAGATGCAGCAAAATAGTATCGGCTCCAGAGATAAAAGCAGTGAGGCTCACAGACGAGCCATTGGGATAATTTTCTCCTTCTTCTTACTCTTCCTATTGTACTTGGTTTCCTTTTTAATTTTTTCGTTGGGCCGTTTTGTACCCCAAAGTAAGATGTCTGTGATGATTGGTGAGGTAATTACAATGTTCTATCTTGTTGGCCACTCATTTGTTTTCATTCTGGGTAACAAAAAGTTGAAGCAGGCATTTTTGGCAATGCTCCTGTGTAAGTCTGGTCCTCTGCAGCCTGGATCTACATAGATAGAAAGCAGAGGGCATGCAATGGAGTCCACGAGTCCTTTGGTCTGGCTCAAGACTAAGGGATTGTGCTGATCCTCTCATGGTACCTGTTCTGTCCCATCAGTAGCACAGAGACACTGCTTCCTTCATCCCTGGTCTCCCTAGTTCTGGGTGAAAGCACCATTCTACCCGACATCTCTCTAAAGCATTGTTTTGGAGTAGTAAAATAGTCTTGGGAAATGTCAGCAGTAAGAATGCTCACAATGTAGAGCTGGAGCTGAATTTTAGTAATTATCAGCTCAACATAATGAGTCTGAATATTAGTTTCAACTTAAGTTTAATACTGATATAAATAAAATAGAGTCATGGACTTCAGGGAAAAATCGAAAGCTTTGCAGTTCTGTGGATGTCAATTTGAATTCTGGTTATTGTCAATTTTTAAGGATTTTTGGCTTTAGATGAGTTACTTGTCTGATGTTGTCTTTTCTTTCCTCAAAATGTGAACTGTAACAGTAATTTTGCCACGTATGAGAAATTCACAAGACAATGCCTGCTAGCATTTTTGCACAGTGTGTTGTGTAAAGTGCTTAATTGAGTGAAGGCTGTTATTTCAACTAACACTGGTTGTACAGCAAAAGCAATACTGACAAGACATGTATTTTTAAAAAGCAATTATTGGCTGAAGACAGCAGTGGGATAAAATGAAGACCTTTGCATTTCGTTATCATTTTACTAAAGTAAATTTCAAAGTAATTTTTTATGTTTTAGATTGGACAAAAGACTGAGTATGCCTCTTGTCCTTGTCTCTCCTCCCTCTTTTCTTTCTACCAAGGTGTATATCTTTTTAAAATTATAGTTGTGTCACATAATATATGCAGTTTGTAGCTTAATTTATACTGTTTAAATAGAAATATATAGGCATTGTTTTACTTCCTGTCATGGTATGATTTTGACAAATCAATGAGAAAATTGTTTAATATGAAGAATCCTCAGGCTTTTGAACACATTCAGTATGAAACATGGTATTTTTGAATGTGAATGTCTAGTACTAATTTGGTTTTAAGCAGTGATGGCGAACCTTTAAGAGCTTTCAATAATAGCAAACAGCTAGCGGTGGCATGTGTGCCTTAGGTTTGCCACCCGGTTTTAAAGTGTCAAGAGTTATAACTGAGAATATGGACCTGAAAGCCAGACAGCCTATGTTCAAAATCCTGGCTATGGCCCTAGCCTTCATGAACTGCGTATCTTGGGGAAGGTTCTTCACATGTCTGGATTTTGCTTTCCTTATTTGTAAAATGGAAATAGTAATAATGTATAGGGATGTTGGGAGAAGTAAATGAATTAACACATGAATAACACTTAAAGTACTATATGGAATAAGCAATAAAAATCACAACTATTGGTTTTTGTTGTTTTTCTGTGAAGGGAGGCATATTTTGACCTATCATCAAGGATCATCACATTACTTGATGTATAGTCATATGAAAGCAAACCAATTTTAGGATTTTTCTAGGATATAAACATTCATTTCTAAAATTACAGGTATGCAAATATTTTTTTGGTCTGTATAGTTGGCTTTTAAGTTGATGTTTGTTTCTTCAAGCTACTGGGAAAATTCCTAATTTTTGACTCAATCTAAAGTTCCTTTTTAAAAAAGTAAGTACTGAAGGCTAAAGAATAATTAAGATTCATTCATAATTCAAAAATAAAAGGAATCCTATAGCTGGTATTTCTCCCCACCTCATAGTTTCTGTAATTAACTGTGTGCTAGATGTGGTGGCTTATATTGTAATCCCAGCACTGAGACAGGCTGAGACAGGAAGATTGCTACAAGTTTGAGGATAGCCTGGGCTACATAGCAAAACCTTGTTTTAAAAAAACAAAAAATTCTGTGCTTATTTTCAGCGTGGAAGTTTTACTGTGGAAATCCTTGCTGTCTTTATTGGCATCTGCTTTGTCTACCCTAACCCCGTGGCTCTATATCTTAGCCTCATCCATCCTGGAACTTGTTCCTGTTTATACTATTTGGACAACTTCTCTTCTGCCTCTGAATTATGGTTCTTTAAACCTAACCTGAGCTCCTAATTCTGCCTAATGATTCAAGTGGTAGAATTTTCCTTTTATTCAAGCAAACAAAACACCTGAGTAGAGGTTTTGGTTTAACTGATCACTGGCTATCTTCTGTTCATTTCACTGGTTCCTAAAGTATTAGTGGAAGGTGCAGAATTCTCTGTAAGGGAGTTTGATGTGAATACTCATTTGGTCCTAGAGAGGAAATGTAGCATGCCAACTCCATTCCAGATTCCCACTTTCAGGGAAGTTTGGAGTTGATCCCTGAGAAATATAATTGTATATGATTACCTGATTTCAGGCAATATATACTGAAAGTTGGGGATGGGAATGGGGATTTAGCCCTGGTTGTTGGATAAGTTACTGAGGCAAGGAGTCTCATCTATTACTAGAGTTATGATAATGGATATCTATCCAGGTAATCAGACTTAGTATGTTAAGTCTGTTAGGGGAGGTCTAATTTGTAAGCTCCTCACTGATCCCAGGGAAGATCATGTTTTAGGCCCAGTTTTTAGAAGTCTTAACCATGTCTCTTTCAATTAATTAGCTTTCATTTATAAACCCCTTATGATTTGTTTTCTTTCCTCAGTACTGGGGATTGAATGCAGAGCCTTTTCCCTGAGCTACATTCCCCAGAACTTTTTTTTTTTTGACATAGGATCTCACTAAGTTGCCCATGTTGGACAGGAATTTACAATCTTCCTACCTTGGTATCCCAAGTAGCTGGGATTACAAGCATTGTGTCACTTGTGCCAGGTAAACCCTTAAGATTCTACCTTGAATCAAAGAATTTGATTCAAGAACCCTTAAGATTCTACCTTGAATCAATGAATTTTCTGGTTTTGAAGCCTCATTACATACTTGACATGGTTCCTAAAACCCATGTTCTCTCCAGATACATCTGTTCTTTGGTATTTTGTTTGAGCTTTAATATATGAGTCAGTATCAATATATGACAGTAGCTCATGAGGTCTTCCAATTGTCCACCAGAATCCTAACTTCTTTTTATGGCATCTGTGAAAATATTCTTCTTGAATCTCTGCTTATAGGGAACCTAATTTGCTAATGGCTCTAGCTGTCCCCATTCACTACTAAGAGGCTACACTTCTGGTATGCTTCTCGCAGCCAGTAATGGAGCACTGAAACATGAGACTGTTTCAATAGACAGTTTTGGTCCATGGAACTCCATCAGTCTGGCTGAAGCTTTCTTGAAATTGTGCTACAATTTAAGACTTTTCCTACTCAGTTTTTCCACTTCTATTTTTATAGCTGTCACATCTACATGACTATCTGAATACTCTTCCCACGTACCTTGACTTCTGTCACATAAATCTCTTGCGTATCTGTCTTCTTTCATCCTCTGATATAGGAAGACCTGAGTTAACACACACACTTGTATAAATATTCTCTTTATTAAAATGTTAACTGATCATACAGCTACTTAGTAAAAGATGTGCACATGTGTTCCAGAATTCTAGAAATCTTCCCAGATTTTCCCTTTTCCTATAGCTTCAGTATCCATTTGGTTACTAGCCAGATCTATTTGGTTGTATTTTCTAAAAAATTTTTTCAAGTGTCCCTCTTCTGTAGTTCCTTCTTTCCAGCCCATCAGAGTGAATGCAACAGGATTCCTGTTAACTAGTTTACTGATCTCAGCCTTATCCCCTTCAGCAGAGCTTTTCCTTATTACTTGAGTTTTGTTCTTTAAGCAGTGAAAATACCAGCATAATACTCCTGGGCCCTGCAAGGGCTCTGCAAGGGCTCTCCATTACTTTTGATGAAATCCAAACTCCTTAGCATACAACTTAAAGCAGTTCATCATTTGGTTTCTTTTCCTTTCTAGCTTCATCTTGCCATGCCTTCTCTAAAGGAATATTGAACTAGTCTGTTTCACAAATATGCCATATTCTTGTTGCTGTATGTTTTCATAAGTTCCATTATGCCTAGAATTTCCTTTTTCACTTGTCAGTGATGTTAATTCCTCTTCCTCAAGCTCATCCCCCTCTGGGAAGGTTTTTTGACCCTTTCAGATAAGGCAAGCATTTATTCTGTATGTTATCCCGAAATGATATCCATACTTCTGATCATATTACTTAATGTGCAGGTGCTGTGGTATATAGATACTTGTTGATCTGTCCTTCCAGTTGTATAGTTCACTTTCTTTCTTTCTCACCTCGTACCCCTCCTCTGTTTCCTGAACCCATCACATCTTGGTCACTTGGTCACCTCTAAGTTTGTAGGTAGAGTTCTACAATATCCTTCTTCCTCCCACCATATTTTTTGCTTGGATAACTCCTTTGAATCTTGTGGACATAACTGTTTTGTTTTCTTTTTTATTCCTTTAGTTTGTTTGTTTCACCTGTTTTTGTTTCTTGTTGTTCTTGGGTGTTTTTATTTTTGTTTTTGTCTTGAGATAAGATCTCACTATGCAGTTCAGGCTGACCTTGAGTTTACTTTGCAGCCCAGGCTGGTTTCAAACTCACAACAATCCTCCATCCTCAGCCTCCTGAGTTTTGGGATTACAAGCTTGGACATAATTGTTTTTTAAAACAGGGTCTCACTAGGTAGTTCAGATTGGCCTTGAACTCACTACGAAGTCTAGGCTGGCCTTGAACTCATAGACTCCCATGTGTCCTCCTATTTTAACCTCCCAGGTGCTGGGATTACAGGCGTGCACCACCACACCCAGCTTGCAGACATAACATATATATCCTCAGGGAATCTTTCTTGCACTCCCGGTGAAGTATTAAATGAACCTCATGGGCACTCTTACATAACTTGTTTTTTCTCATTATACCACCTGAACTATTGACCTCTAATTGTCTATTTGTTTGTCTCCTGCTAGGTTCTTTGAAGTGTGTTTTTCTTGATTATCCCGTTACTATAGTACCTGATATACGATCTGGCTAACAGTAACAATACATTTAATATAAGAAACAATGAGGAGCAGTTTAGTCTAATGGAAAGAGTGAAAGACCTTCCAGGTTAGCCACTGATTGGCTGTGATAGAAGAGAGACATGTACTTCTTTCCCTGATTTTTATGTTCTTCATTTGTAAATAGGAGTATCTGTATTTTTATATATTAAATAACTGTTTAATTTCTTCCTTTCTTTCTGCCTTTTTTTTTTTTTTTTTTCACCGAGAATTGAACTTAGGACCTCACACTTGCCAGGCAGGTGCTTTGCTGCTGAGCTGTATTTCCAGCCTAACTGACTTTTAAGATCTCTGGTGTACTGCTGGAAACATAGTAAGAGGTTTATAATCACAGGAAATGAATGTTTTCTTCTTTTCTTTCTCCTAAATTCCATGTAGTACTCTTTTGAAAAAAATTCAAACTGTAAAATTTCACATTAATCATGACTGCCTCATTCTTTAGAGTCATCATCAAGTCAGCAAAATCATCCTTTTGCTTTGACATCTGTCTTAAAGCTATTCCTACAGATAGCTTTACAGATTAAGTAACAGTATAGAACCTAGGACCATAGGTTCTAGGACCTAGGACCAAAAGAGCCCATCAGTGGCTCTTTTGGGGCTGTAGTAAACAGTCAGATTTTTAAGACTGTTTCAGGACCCTGGATCACCAGCTTCTTCAGAAGGACATAGTTCAGGGACCCAGCTGCCTGCAGAGCGCTATTAGTACTTCCTCTTTCGCAAAGTCCTTGTTCTAGGCTGTAGAACTCAGGTGGAAGAAGAAGGGATACACAGATTAGGGAAGGTTGAGAGCTACTCTAAATGAAAACTTCATATGTCAAAGGAGCCAGTGTCTCTTATAGTAAATTCGCAGATGTGGATTCCATGGCTTAGTCAGTCAAGGGGCATGAACATAGGGGCTCAAACTCAGGGAAGCTCCAAAACATGGAGTCTCTATAAAATATTTATAGTTTACTTACAGTTCAGTCTAGTCAAGGTGTGATTTGCCTTGATCAGAGGTGTTTTGTTTTTGTTTTGTTTTAGTCAAGGTGTGATTTGCCTTAATCAGAGGTGTTTTGTTTTTGTTTTGCCTAAAAACATCATTGATGGCTTTATCCTTACCAGGCTGATAAGAAGAATAGAAAAAGAAAATTTAACTGAAGAATCTCATGTAGAAGAATGGATTTTATTAGCCCTTTCCCTATAGTGATCCTTTCATAAGTAACTTCTAACAGATGAACCTCCTTGCTGATCATGTAGCCACTTGATTCTGCCCCACTTTCTTCTTTTGGTTTTTGAGACTAGGTTAGACTGGCCTTGAACTTGTGGTGATCCTCCTGCCTCAGCCTCTCAAGTGCTGGTATTATAGGTGTGAGCCACCATACCTGCATTACTTTTTAATTACTTCTTCTGCTATCCAGCAACCTGGTATATTATATACTGGATAAAGTCTACTATTGCCTAATACTGTTTTTTCCCTTCTTACAATACTTTTTTCTATATCTTTATATTCTTTATCCTATTTAAATGTGGTAGTTAAATGTGTTATTTGTAATATTTCAGCTTAATTAGTGCAGTCATGTTTATGGATAATGAAGTGGAAATATGTGCTGTAATTTTCTCTTTAATGATGGACCTGTTTATTCATTCTGTTTACTTGTTTAACTGATCTAGGCATTAGTTTTGTATTAAAATCTACAGACACTTAAGCTCTAGCTCAGAAGGCTTGCTATCTTGTCATCTGTCTTAAAAGTCCTCTTTGAGACCTCTTTGTCATATCTTAACTCCTTCCTGTCTATTCTTATTTATGCTTCACCTTAGTGACTCTTTAGAAAATGTATTTGTCCATATCCAGGATTGCACTGCATTTCAAGGTGGTTGGCTTCTACCTTTTAGAGTAGATAAGAGAGGCCATACTCACTCTTGTATTTATTTGTGGTTCTCCATAATATTATTTACTAGGCATATTATATTCTTCACTATCTGAGCAATGACAAAGACATCAGCTAATGAAATGACAACTGTTTAGCTCTCAAAATTATATCTAAAGCATATACCTTTCTCTTACCAGACTACTTTAACTGATGGTTAAAGCCTAAGGACAAATAGCCACACATAATCAAGACGTAGCTATAGCTGTATAAAGGAAACATATGAAAGAGGTTTTCTTTTTCTTTTTTTTTTAATTTTTAAAAATTTTTTATTTTTTTATTTTTACCAGTACCAGGGATCAAACTCATGACCACATGTTTGCAAGACAGGCACTTATGCCACTGAGCTAAATCCCCAGCCCCTAGCTTTGCTTTTTCTAAGCAAAAACGATGCAACAATTGATTATGGTAAATTTATGTATATAGCTAATGGGGGATTGCAAAGTAAGTATCATGAAAGGGTGATATTGAGATGAAGTAAGGTTCTGGAACTTAATCTATTAGATGATAGTAAATCACTGTAGGTACTAAGTGATAAAAGAGATACATTGGCCTGGCCAGAATGAGAATTGGACACAATGGTTGCAGCATCAACAGATTAGAGAGGAAAGAGAAATTGAATTTAGGTCATCCATGGATATATGAATGGAAGGTGGGTGGGGAGGAGGGGCATGAGAAATCCCACCATATTCTGTGATTTCTTTGAAGAAAAACTGGGTGTTTGGAATAGTGACAGAAACTAGGGCTTTCTGATTTGGAGTTCTTAGAGCTTCCCATGACTCCTTTTATATCTCCTGCTCTTGGAGGAACAGACTCAGGTTCATTCAGGCTTGTTTTATTATAATCAGGCATTTCTAAGAAAAAAAAGGTGCCTTGGTTACTTTTCTCTCATTGCTAGGACAAAATACCCAAAAATGGAAGTTAAAGAGGGAAAAGTTTATTTAGCTCACAGATCATGAAGGTTTTAGTCCATAATCAGCTAGGAATGGCACAGGGGCAGTACTTCAAGGCAGCAGAAGGCACAAAAGTGGGAAATGCAAGCCTCTTTTCCTTCCTTATATTGTAAGCAGACCAACCCTGTATGGCTGGCAGCCCCTGCTGAGTCACTTAAACTTGTAAACTTCTTAAGTTGACTCAATGAGTCCACCATTACAAAAGCATAGGAATGAAGAAACAGTAATGCAATGCTTGGAACATTTGCATCTCAGTGAAAGCAGCTGGCTTTTAGACCACACATGGCTCATTTGCCATGCTGAGGAAAAGTAAAAAAGGAGACATCCTTCCCAACTGGATATTAGTTCCTGCTTATACATTTCAGTATTTCTCCTGGCCCACCACCAGCACCACAACTGCTGAATCCTCCTTCCGTGAAGATGCTTCAGGTGGTTCACTTATTTGTTATTATTACCTCAATTTTTTTAAATTTTGTAGGGGTGATTATGAATTTGTTTATTACAGTGATCATTTATAAGACTTGGGTTAAAAACCATAGAGTCTCTTCTTCTGATAGAATACTTTTCAGTTTGAGCATCAGCAGATTTCTTATGCTGGGACTGTTTCTACTGAACATTGTCTATTTCATTGCTTCAAATGCTGAAAGATCAGTCCACCTTTTTGCTTTTTTGTTGTTGTTTTGGAAGCTTTTGGACTCTAGCAGTCTCTGGTTTGTGACCTTGCTCAACTGCTTGTATTGTGTGAAGATTACTAATTTCCAACACTCAGTGTTCCTCTTGCTGAAACGGATTATTTCCCAAAAGATCACCAGACTTCTGCTGGGCTGTATGCTGATTTCTGTCATCACCACCCTCCTGTATTTTGTGCTCAGACAGATATCACGTGTCCCTGAATTTATGACTGGGAGAAATGGCACATGGTTTGACCTCAATGAAAGCATTTTGACTTTGGTGGTCTCTTTGGTCTTGAACTCATTATTCCAGTTTATCCTTAATGTGACTTCTGCATCTCTGTTAATACATTCCTTGAGGAAACATGTACAGAGGATGGAGAGAAACTCCACTGGGTTTTGGAATCCTCAGACTAAAGCGCATGTAGGTGCTATGAAGCTGATGATCTATTTCCTCATCCTCTATGTTCCATATTCAGCTGCGACCCTGTTCTTTTATCTCCCTTCTTATGCAAGGATGGGCCTGGGAGTCAAAGCCTTTTGTGTAATTATTTCCTCTCTTTACCCTCCAGGACATTCTGTTCTCATCATTCTTACACATCCTCAACTGAAAACAAAAGCAAAGAAGATACTCTGTTTCAACAAATAGTCAGGGTTGGGGGTTTAGCTCGGTTGCACAGTGCCTGCTTGGCAAATGTGAGGCCCTGAGTTTGATTCCCGGCACCCAACAACACCAACAACAACAACAACAAAAAAACAAATAGAGGAGTTTCACTAGTAAACTTTGGCTGAGGTCATTTCATAATTTGGGTGTAAGATGGTTGTGTTCCCAGTAATCTGAAGAATTACTTTTGTGATCCTTTATCTGACTTTCCAGGCCTTTGAGTACCTATTTTTCTGTTAATTTTGTGTAGTTTTGCTAATATTTTAAAATAAGGTATGTTCTCTAAGGAGCTTGCTTGAGACATAACTTACATTATTTCCTATAACCCTGTGGTGTCAGACCTATGACACATGTGCTTTTTTTCTTTTAAAACAAAAGGTGTTAGTGTATGAATTGTTTTTTCTAAATGAAAACATCAGTATTCAGGTTTAATTTCAGTGTTGGTACTTAATGATGAATAAGTGGGTCTGATGTTGTAGTTTGGGCAAAAAAGCTTTGCTAGCACTGCTATAGCCACTGTGTTCCTGGCTAATAGAAATTACTATATTGTTCCATTAACTACTCAAGTACATATAGTGGGAAGTTTCCTCCCGTTAAGGAGTACATTATGGTGCACATTAATTTTTTTCAGTTTAGAGAGCCATGACTTGGGTCAGTGGTAGGTTAGTGGTGATTGAAACCCAGTGGACTGCCTTACAGTGTGACAAGTGGGTGCAAAAAAGAAAAGAGGGTGATAAAGGTTACAGAGAAAAAAAGGAAAAAATGGTAAAAAGAATAGGTATACATTGTGGGAAAAGATAGGCAAAGGGTCTTCATATTTACTTAGTGAGAGTAAATGAACTATTATTGCTAAGAAACCTAGTACTGAACTTCTAGGCTAGATCTGACAAGGAGAAAAGAGTTGGACTTGATAGGTGGATAGAAATGATGAATAATAATGAAGCCAAATCCAAAATGGTTTCATGAATCTTGAAATCCACAGATAGGCTAAGGTAAGGTCAAAATCAAGTTCCACATATTGAAGCTAGCACCATCAGAGCAAAAATTTATAGAGTACTGTGTCTTACCATCTAATATGGAATTCATTGGAAAGCCAAGAACAGCCATTGGTTTGGTAGTGGGAGTGCTTGACTTTGGTGAACTTATTCCATTGGTTTCTGCATTTATGAAGTGCACAATCCTCTAAGAGAACAATTTCTGGAACTGGGACAACAGGACTATGACTACAGAGGAACAAGAGTATGAAAATGGGATGTTGACAAGTTTTGAAATAGAATTGAATGTTAATTATTTTTAATTATGTAATTTTAAAAAACTGCTCATATAATGTATGTAAAACTTATATTTATAAATCTCAAAATAAATGTCTTCAAATTTTACAAATTGCTGACTTTTTCTATTTTTACTTTTAGAATCTTGACTGTAATAGCAAGTTTTACCTAAATCAACATTTTATTTGTTTTATTTTATTTTAAAGAGAATAAAACCAAAAAAATAAAACAGAGTAAAGCTAGTCAAAACAGAACAGTGAAAGTGATACAGGACTTCAAAATAGATAATAGGAAATCAACCATTGCTACCATAATGCCTCTTCAAAATAACTGTCCATACTATCAGATATAATAAAACAGAACAGAATAAAACCAATCTAAATAATAAATAAAACAGTGAGAACAGTATTAGATTTCAAGAACAAGACAGAAGAAAATCCCCCATAGTTGCTATATTGCATATTGTTATCCTCTAAATAGATGCTCAGACTACTGGTTTTACACCTGCAAAGTCTATGAAACAATATAAGCATTAAGATTTTTTTTTGAACCTCAGTTGCTATCAACTCAGTCTGTGTACCTCTGAATCAGCTGGTTGCTTAGGGGAAGGGCTGGAGGAGTAGTTTGTCTCTTCTTGTCTCCCAGCCCCAAACTAGCTTATAGGAAGGGCCCTTCTTATTTCTCTGTCCAGCCCACAGTTACCCCTGACTCACAGGGAGAGTGGCAAGCCACTCACTGTTTTATAGAATAAAACTGTTTTTTATTTGTTTGTTTTTGAGGCCGGGTCTGGCTATGTAGCTTAGCTGACTTTCAGCTCCCTAAGTAGTCCAGGCTGGCCTTGAACTTGAGGGAGTCCTCCTGCGTCAGCCTCCCAAGTGCTGTATAGTATGAAAGTTGAAGGTATTTGTCATGTGAGAGTCTTAAAATTAATAGAAAAAAGGGTTACTGAGAACAATTAAACTGTACAACAATTTTAAATGAGTGCCAGAATTCTTCATGGATCCTCCAATGTCTGTTCCTTCTCCTCTCTAACATAGCAATCAAATTCTTAACTGTCCTGTATTATGGCAACCAAGTTATATTTTATAGCTTCCTTTTATAAGTAGGTGCCTTATTGCCTTATGATCAAGTTCTTCCAGTAAAGTGTGAGTAGAAGTGATGTGTATGATTTCTAGATGTGCCTCTACAAGAGTCATGCCCTCCCTTTCCCTTTGCCATGGATTGGATGGTGGTGTAATGATTGACCATGCTAGATCTTGTACTTGAAGTGAATACTTAGCAATAGTGGAGTTATTTAGCCCAAAATTGATGTTGTCTGGTTCCTGATGTGATGAAGTTGCCCCAGTTCTGAACTGCTTATGTCTGAATTCTAGGGCTGTTCATGAGAAACATCTTCATGCTTTTAGGAACTCTGCTTGAGTATCAATTACCTTTGTCAAATAACTTAAGACTTACCCTAAGTCCATGCAATACCAACTGCTTTTATGAAATAGTATGCAATTACTTATTATTTTATAGTCAAAGAACATTTTATGACATTAAATAAAAATTGTAAAAATAAACAGTGTGGTACCAATTTTATATACATTTCAACAAAAGTTTAAAGGGAAGAACAAAAATGTAAATGGCAATTATTTTTGGGTAGGAATTTTTAAATAACTTTTTTTACATTTTGTTAATTTTCTACAACGAATCAGTGAAAAACATACTTTAGATGTATATACTATACAGTCTATTCAACATCCATGCATCAATATTTCTTTCTTTTTCACTCTTTTTAAAAATTAATGAATTAATGGGTTTTGTTTTGGCAGATTTGTATATGTATAAAACGTACTTTCCTCATTTTCATCTCCTGCCATCCTCATTTCTCCATTGTCCCCCACTAGTTTAACATTTTGGGGGCTGTGAATGCCTATAATACAATTTTGCTCGTATTTATCCCCCTCATGACCCACTCTTACACTCCATGCTGTTGCCTTTCTCTTGTCTATTAATAATTTCCTTTTTACATTCTTGTTATCTTCTTTAGATTTTATATATTATGGAGAATGTGTGATGTGTATCTGAGTTTGGTTTATTTTGCTCAACATAGTTGTCTCTAGATCATCCATTTTCATATAGATGACAGAATTTCATTCTTTCTTGTGACTGAGTATTATATTGGGTAATATGTCACATTTTCCTTATCCTTTCATTTGTTGATAGGCACCTAGACTGGTTCCATATCTTGGCTATTGTGAATTATGCCTTAGTAAATATTGATATGCAGATACTACGATAACATGATGATTTTAATTGCTTCTAATATATACTGAGTAATGGCATAGCTGGATCAAATAGTAGCTTTAGTTTTAGTTAAGGAATGCATCATGGTTTTCATAATTTACATTCCTTCCAGCAGTGTAGAAGGTTCCTCGTTGCAGCCTCAACAGCATATATTGTTTTTTTATTATTGATGATAGGCATTCTGACTTATAATGTGATGAAATCTCAGTGTAGTTTTCATTTGCATTTCCTTAGTGACTAAAAATGCTAAACAGCTTTTCATATACCTGTTACACATTTTTACATCTTTTGTGTAGTATCTGTTGACTTCATTTGCCCATTTATTGATTAGTCTGTTTGATTTTTAATCTTAAATTTTTTGAGCTCTTTACATATTCTAGTTATTAATCCTCCGTTGAAAGAGTATCTGGTAAAGATTTTCTTCTGTTCTATAGTCTGTCTCTTCACTCCATCAATTATTTCCATGCCTGTGCAGAAACTTTAATTTGGTGTAGTCCCGTTTGTTGCTTCTTGCAGTTATTTCCGGTCTTGTACAAGTCTTATTCAGGAAATCTTTGCCTGTGCCTGTGACTTCCAAGTGTTTTCCCGTTGTTATGTTTTGGCAAATTTGAGGTCTCAGGTTTTATACCTATGTTTTTGATCTATTTTGAATTGATTTTTGTACAGAGTGAGAGGTAGAGATATAATTTTAGCCTTCTAGAAGCGGGTATCCAGTTGTCCTAGCACCATTTGTTAACAATACTGTCTCTCAGCATGGTAGTGCACTCTAGTTATCTTGGCATTTTAGGAGGTTTTTGGAAGAAGAATTGCAAGTTTCAGCCCAATCTGGGCAAGTTACCAAGATCCTGTATCAAAATAAAAAACAAAACAGTGCTGGGGATGTAACTCAGTGTACAGGCCCTGGGTTCAATCTCCAGTACTGAAAAAAAAAAAAAAAAGGTTCTCTTTTCTCCAGTGTATATTTTTGGCTCCTTTGCCTAGATCAGAGGGCTCTAATTGTGCAGGTTTGTTTCTGTGTCCCCTATTCTGTTCCATTGGTCTTTGTTTTATTTTTGCACCACTATCATGTTGTTTTTGTTAATATGACTTTGTAGTATAGTTTGAAATTAGATATTGTGATGCCTCCAGCCTTGCTTTTTTTACTTAGGATTGCATTGGCTATTCTGGGTGTTTTGTATTTCCATATGAATTTTAGGGTTGTTTTTTTCTTGTTCTGTGAAAAATGTCAATATTTTGAGGAGGATTGCATTGAATCTATAGATCACTTTTATTAATCTGGCCATTTTGATAGTATTAATTCTGCTAATCCATAGATACAGAAGGTCTTTCATTTTTTTGTACCTTCTTCAATTTCTTCTTCAGTGTTGTAAAATTTTCACTGTAGAGATCTCCTTTGTTAGAATGCCCCTGTAGTATTTTTAAAAATATTATAAATAAGGTAGGGGATTTAGCTCAATGGCACAAGTGCCTGCCTGGCTAGCATGAGATTGTGAGTTCAATCCCCAGTACCAAACATACACACAAAACAACCCCCCCCCAAAATCCCCAAAACTCTCTCTCTCTATCTATATATATAATTGTTTTCCTGATTTTTTTTATCAGCTAGGCTGCTATTGGTGTATAGTAAAACTGTTGATGTTTTTTGAACTGATGTTAATGTAGCATTTTCAGTGCTTAAATGTTTACGCTTTTTAAATTTTTTCTCTTTTTCCAATCAGATTTTATTGGAAACTATTGATTTTTTATGTTGATCTTATATCCTATTACTTTGCTGAATTCATTTATTTACTCTAAAAGTCTTTTGGTGGAGTTGACAGGATCTTCTAAGTACAGGATCATATCATCTGCAAATAAGGATAATTTGACTTCTTCCTTTCTTATTTGTATCCCTTTTATTTTTTCTCTTGTCTAATAACTGTAGTTAAAATTTCAAGAACTGTATTGAGTGGTGAGAATGGATGGACATCTTTGCCTTATTCCTTATACATCCATCTTTCTGGAGGACAGATGGGCAGTTCTGATGTCATTCAGTTTCTTTTTACTAAGAAAGGTAAATGTATAGTCTTCTGTTCTCTCTGGATTCTTTTTCTTGTACAATATTGGCAGAGTAATGCTGATTGTTTTTTGGTTGACCTGTGTAGTATCCATTTCAATCCCATTTGAGTTGGAGTGTTATCTTTGTATTAGGACTACTCTTGCTACTTGAAGAAAGTTTTGAGTGTTTTCTTATTATTTGTCCAAATACTTAGTATTTGTCGAAAGTCCTCCCTGTGTGGTTTTTAGCAATGTTGTAGGTTTGGAGTTTTTCTGATTCCAGTATACTCTGCTAAATACATGCCACTAGGGACCTCTTAACCGGAGTTTGAAGTTTTTTTTCTCAAATTATAATAATGCTTTAATTTCTTATTACAAATATTCTAATCCTATATTTCCTTTTGTTCTCTGGCTATTGCAGAAAAGAGTGTTAAAACTCTTTGTTAGAAAGATTCATTTTCTAAGTAAAAGATCAGGTCATTGTCTGAATAATGTTGTCAGTGGAACATCTACCACCCACTATCTTAGCTGTAACTCAGGGACCTGCTATTTAGCTTCCAATTGTTGTATGAACTGCCTTATTATGTTATTGGCTCTTCACAACCTCTTTGGTAATGTACATACTATTATGCTCAATATGTGGTTGACAAAATTTAGGCAACAAAAATATAAGTAAGGAATTCATATAGTAGAGCCAGGAAAGGATTGATTCAGGGTTCCAGTGAAAGTCTCTGACTCTAAACTCCAGTTTGCATACCAGTAGATCACTATGTGGGTAGAAAGGCATATAGAGTAAGATCATTCTAAGCAAAACAACTTTAGTTTCTAGCATAAGAAGAAATATTCAAAGAGATGCCCAAAGCAGCATATATACAGCCTGAAGATCTACCCAGGGCTGTCCATGCATAAGGGGAGAGTATGAGGATAGAATAAGCTTGTAGGTGTTTGGTTTTCATAGCTGAAATGTCATGGTGCCACTGTCTTGGGGCTTTTTTTTTTTTTTTTAACTACTGGTCCATTTATTTGTGGTACTGAACTCAAGCAAATATATAGCTATTATAAAAGCAAAGTAAAGTATGTCTGTTTTGAACTGTAGCTTATACAGATTTTTAAAATTTTCAAAATTTTAAATTTTTGTGTTAATGTAACACAAGTAGATATTAAAGAAAATAGCAAAGCACTTTTCTTCTATAAAAAATAAAACAAAATTCTGTAACAAAAGTTAATATACCACGTATCTTGAAAGAATGGTCAAAATGTTACCCAGTGTAAGTCATAGACAGAAAAAGATTAACTCTTACAAAGATTGGGCTCTTAAACCCTGAAATTATATTAGAAAATTTTAAGATGGAAAAGCAGTAACATTAAAAGAGACGCTACTTTAAAATTTCTTTTGAATGCTGTCACTTGGGAAGAAACAGGCCAATGCAAAAATAGTGGAAGAACAGAAAAAACTTCTGTAAGAACCAAATAAGAATCTTTAAAAATTTCAAGGATTTTGAACACTTCATATTTAATATAGCTTCAGTTTTACTTAATCATGTGAGGATTTGAGTTTCCTTATTGATTTTGAAGGTTTTTTTTTCTTTTTTAAGAAAAAGGATTACTATGGGGATGCTACCTTTTTAAAGTATGAATTAAAAGTCACTGTAATATTGGGGATTGAAGGAAGGGCCTCACTCATACTAGGAAAGCACTGTACCACTGAGCTACACCCCCAGCTTTGACGGTAACTTTTAAAATGGCTTTAAATGCAAATCTGCCATGGGAATTGAACCTTACTGAAGGCATTTAAAATAAATTCTTCAAATATGTCTTTTCTCATTCTCTTTCCTCCTTCTTCTCCTTTATTCTCTCCCTCCTATCTATCTTTCTGTCTGTCTGTTCCTCTGTTTATCTAGCAAGCATGCTAGCTAGCTAGCTTGTTTGCTTGTTAAAGCTGTAGATGCATTAGCCCACAGGCTTTCAAAGAGGGATGAGGGGATGCCAAGCCTGGGAGATTCCACTGGGAATGTTTCAAATTTTGAATGCCCTCCCTCCCATTCCTTATTGGTGTAGTAACAGAGGAGGGAGGTGGAGCTAGATTAAAGTATCGAGGTGTTTAGAGATTGTGGTCTAAATAAACAAAGGCAAGTTATAAGCCATAAACTGTTCCTTCTCCTAAGGGAACAGTTTATGGCTAGTTTTATCCCATGAGGAAAAAATGGGAAAAGAAACTCCATGTGTACATAAGAATTTGCTTGACATGGAAATCAACAAGGAGGTGGTCTGTGTTAGGAATGGGGAAAGGGAAGAGGAAGGGGAACTGATGGTGAGATGGTCATGATCTGTATACATTTCAGCACCTGTATACATTTGGGGGGAACATACGAGGTCAACATCATCTCACAACAGCCTGATTGCTCTCTGATTATGACTTTGTGGGTTTAATGGATCTGGGAGGGTGTGTGACTGTAACTTTGTCATTGGTCAACAAGAAGTAGCAGGAGGCCTTTGGCAAATGGCTGAGATCCAGAAAACCCACGGTGCTGTCTGTGTTGCTTGGCTCTTTCCTTAGCACAATCTTGCAACATTATGAAACATCTCAGTCCCCTGGAAAAGCACAATTTTCAAATTGCTAAAAATGTAACTCAGTGCAAATTGTTAATACATTTCTGAATTTTAACTTTTGAGAAATAAAGTTTTCTTTTTATAAAAATGTTGCAAAGTGAGTTCAGAGAGTGAATATTTTATTTGCCCAGTGTCCTGTAACGTCGAGACCAGGCTACACTTGTCAAAACTGGAAATTACATTGGTACATTACTATTCATTACAGACTTTATTCACATTTCACTAATATTTTTCACAAATGTTCTTTAAAAATTTTTTTTGATTCCAGAATACCACCATTGTGTTTAGTTATTGCATCCCCTTAGTCTCCTCTAGTTGGGTACTGTTTCTTAGCCTTTCCTAGGTTTTCATTGCCTTCACAGCTTGGAAGATTGCTGTTCAGGCATTTTGTTAACAGTCCTTCCATTTGGCTGTATCTGATGTTCTTCTCATACTGAAGTGATGGGCTTTTGGAGAAGAGTACCATGGATTAAACCGTGTTGGTGTCCTTGGTGATGGCACTTTGATCACTTGGTTAAAGTGATGCCTTCCAGTTTTCTACAATGTAAAGGTACTATATTTTTCCTATACTTTCTTCTTTAAGAGTCATCAGGTCCAGATCAAATTTAGTTGGAGGAAAGGTAAGTTCCTCCTGGAGTGTTGCCCAAATCTGTCTGTGATACTTATCTCCCTCCTTGAATTTTCATCCTCATGGAAGCAGACAGAAATAGCTCTTGTTCTCTCATCTGCAGTTTCCTCACTGCTATGCTTTTACTCACTTTCTCCATCCTTAAACACTGCTGCCATTGCTTATCATATTCTTCCTCAAAGGCTGTGATCCTAGCTGCACTTAGAATCTTAGATGGTGGAGTTTGGGGGCTTTCTCCTCCAGCCTGTCTTTAAAGTGTGAATTTCTGTACCAAGGAAGCAGTACCAGTATCAGTGAGCAAGAACACTGGTGTTGTGGATAGATTTCCTGCATTTTCCTGTGTTAAATGCTGCAGAGACACACTTGTGTGCTTGTTGCCAGTGTCCTTGATTTGTTTGTTTCTGAATATATGGACAAATGCAGCTCATTTAGATAATTTGTGCAGCATTTATGAAGAATTTCTAATGCTGTGGAAGAGTTGCCTTCCTCCTGTTTAGTAGGTTTGTGCAAGGTAGGCACACTCTGGGAAGCATTTTATTATTTATTTATTTATTTACCTTTTTTGTTGTTTTTTGAGACATGTTTTCACTATGCAGTTCAGGCTGGCCTCAAACTCACAGTGATCTTGTTTCAGCCTTCTGAGTGCTAGAATTAGAGACGTGTGCTACCAGGTGTAGATGGGAAGCATTTTAAAGGGCTGCCTCAACACAAGAATACAAGATGCTTAAAGAGTGGCCAAGATATGTCAGATATATTTAGGTTAACAAAGGATGGGAGGAATACTTTTTAGGTGAAAGTGTTTGATTTTTGAAACCAGCGATCATTCTTTGTTGATTTCCTTTTGGTATTCTTTTTCTATGTAAGATAGACTGCCCTGTTGATACTATGCAAAAGCCATAAATTGTCCTGGTAAGTTTTTTCTGATGTTTGTGTTCCACTTGATCTTTCATTGGCTTTTCTTTTCTAGGTACTGTAAAAACAGCTGAGGGCTCATAATAGAGGAACGTTGATGAATAGAACAGAAGAGACCTTGTTAGAAAAAGAAGTGGTAGTAATACAGCAGATACATTGCAACTATATTGAAAAGTAAAAAACCAAATGGTTACTCTGTAAACTAGAAAGATTGAGAGTCTAACACTTATATAGCCTCCTGCATGGAAGTTTTTGGTTTGGGAGCTGATATGCTGGACAGTTCTGAGTGGAAATAAAGTATCAGCTGTGGCTCACAGATTCTTCAGGCATGCCTGACTTCTAGAGCTGTTACTCAGCAGTTAATATTTATTGT